CAGAGGGCGAACGTATGTATATTATACTTTCTCTCATGGGTCTGAGTGAAAGTATTATACAGGTAAACGCGTCCATGTTCGTAGCCACCAAAATGTCTGTTTCATTATATATATCGAGACCACACCCTTTGATCAATAACAATTATTATTTTAATTCCAAGGATGATCATCGCAGAAGACAATCATAAATCTCGTGAAAAATTTCTTCATTTATTAAATGAATAAAAAAAATTAAGAAACTACGGTTCATTAATATATCCTTTTATTATTAATTGCAGTCAGTAATTTATTAAATCATCATGATAAGAAAGAAATTAAATGGTTTAATTAATTTCCTGTACTAATTAACACATTGAATAGACTTAGAAAAAATGTTTTAGAAGAATATCTAATGAACAATAATTTTTTTTTTCAAAACAAAAATTCAATCCAAGAAATAAAAAAAGATAGTTTATTAAAATTTATCGAATAATTATACCAATAGGGTACAATCAGGAAGAAGTCACTATCTCGATTCAAAATAAGAGGTGCAAGTCTTTCATTATATATATATACTTTCATGGTATATCACAATGACGATATAATTAAATTGATACGAGACACACATTGAATGAATGGATTCGTGTTGGAAGAAAAAAAAAAAAAAATGATCTCGATAAGCAATGAGAAGGAAATTTCTTACGGTAATACCAAAACTTTCAATCTCTTCTCGAATAAGAAAACGATCTCACTTTTCTTTATAATCCCCCCTCGTCAAATTCCATGCACTGAATCGTACTAAATTATTGAAATATATGAATTCAGATCGATGGAACTTTCTTTCAAAAGCAAATACTTGTTTCGAGAAGGTCATTGTTTTCTCTGCGTCTATCGCGTGAAGTTTTGTATATATATATATATAAGATAGAATCTCATCCCACGCTCACACACAAATGTTCGAATAATAATAATGGGTTGTCAATGTCTCAAAGATAAGAGAATCTTCTTCAAAAAAAAAATTTCATTGTTTTCAAAATACATACAGATTAAAGAAATACGATTAAAATCATTTAAAAAAGGATCAGAGATCAAATTTAACTTTCTTTCAATTTATTGTTACTTTTTTTTTAAAATAAAATTTATAATTTTCGGTTTAATAACAGCAAATCAATACACAGAAAATTAAAAGGCATTTAAATAAGCCACGGTTCGCCAGAAGGTGGTTTAAATAAAAATGAATTGGCACTTAAAAATTCTTTTTGATTATTGTGATTCTTAGATGAATAACAAACATTTCACAAGTTTTTAAAATCAGTTTACGTGCCCGATTTAAATAAAATTGAGTTTTTATATAAAAACAGTGTTTTATGGGGAATCAGAATTTATTTAATCTAAATAAATACTGTAATAAATGATAAAATAATTATACTTATTTTCAATTTTACATATAAATAATTATATTGCTGTAGTGTTTGTGTCCGATTTTAAAAAATTAACGTGAAAATGATAAACATTGATTTTAAAATACTTTCTTCTCGAAAGACGGACACTTTTTACAAAAGCAGCTAGAGATCGTTATCTTATATAAATTTCCTAAATCCAAAAGATTATGCGAATCCATACAAAAATACGATTGCAAAACGAAAAGTAATATAATGACAGGTACATTACCTCCTGTCGCCGTCAGATGGCAGCAGCATGCAGGGCGCACAAAGTCGCAGCTGTTATTAGATTACTTTTCTACTTTTTTGTTTTGCAACCATGTTTTTCTATGGATTCGTACAGTCTTTTGAATTTAGGAAATTTATAAGATGAGGATTTTGGCTGATTTTATTAAAAGAGTGTTCGTGTTTCGAGAAAAAAGTATTTTAAAATCAATACTATTTCACGTTCAGGAGCAATAATTAAAGCTCTCTTTTTGCCAAAGAATTTCAGATACCGTTCGACACTCTTAATGCATAAATATAAAAACAAAACAAGAAAATAACTTCATTGTTAATAAATTTATATGAACCCAAATCTAAAACATCTATTATCTATACGCATATAAGTATATACATTAAATAAATTCTGGTTCCTCATAAAATACTATTTTTAAATATTTAAAACTCAATTTGTTTTAAATTGGGTACGCAAGCTGATTTTAAAACCTATTGAGAAAAGTTTTAGAACCATAATCAAAAAGAATTTTTAAGTGACAATTCATTTTTATTTAAACCACCTTCTGGCGCACCGTGAAGCTGCAACGCTTATTAATTTTAATCCAATTTGGCTTATTTTAATACCAAAATGGATTAAAATAAGCAAAATTAGAATTAAAATAATAGCAGCTTATTTTAATGCCTTTTAATTTTCTCTGTAATTATTATAAATAATTAATTTTCTTAATATTTTATCGAAATTTTTAAAATTAAATTGAAATGGATAAATAAGCCTGGGAAATAAGGAAAGGAGATTTTTGAAGAAAAAAGAAAAAATTTAAAGGAATTCTATTTAAGTATTGAAAATCTGACCTCGAAGCAAACTATATATACTTTCAATACAATCTATTTACAATTTTAAAACATGAGAAATAAAAGAAATTTAAGTACTTCCGTGAAAATTCACTTTCTCGAATTGATCTTCTTTTTTCATTTATAATACAGAAAAAAAATTTTTTTTTTTTTTATTTATCAGCCAATGATAATTGTTGACTTGTGTTATTTCTCGTATATATAGATATATATATAAAAAGGTAGTTATTACAAACTATCAACGATCGCAAGTAACCGGTCGTCGTATTTTCCAACTGATATTTGCATATCAGGAAGTAATTCATAAATTAATTTAAAAAAAAAAAGAAAAATCATTTCATTCAATTGAAGAATTGGGTTAATGAAAAATATGATGTAATTCCTTTCCAAAAATTTTAGAAAAAAAAAATCTAAATTTATTATAAAAAGCAATTTAAATTTCTTCTAAAAAAAATATTCTATTTTTTAATTATAAATTGTTTAAATAATTTTTTTCAAAAAATTTAACAATTTTTATTGTGAAGAAATATAGAAATTTTGATTTTATTTTTTTAAGTAGAAAAAAAATTGGGGCAGATTTTTTTTTTTTTAAAGAGGGCGTTTTTGCGGTCAAGTGTACGTGGCACTTGAGCACGGAAGTCTAGTCCGTTGTTAATCGCATAAAATAGAGAGCATTGAGGTGTGTAGAAAGAAAGACTTTCGTCGAATAGGTTTTTCTTTATAATATAAATATATATATATACATAGTATGGGAATTATTATCTGTTGATGATGTAAGATCCGCATTGGACCATGGAAAGAATAAATTAATGTTCTTCTTTGGATATTCTTACGTGAAAATTCAAAGCTTTTTAGTCGCGGCTTTTGTTTATAATAACACGTTTCTATATTGCAATGCCTCAAAATTTTTTCTTTTTTATACAACTAAATAATAAAATAACTTAGTTACGTATTATTTTTATGTCCATCACAATTACAAACGCAATTACGAAATTTTAATCGAAAGAAGCGACATTCTTTTTATGGGAAAATAATGTTAATTGCAAATTTGCCCTGCGAAAAAATTCCTTAGTAATCTTTATACACTAAAAACATTTTATTCTAAATTTAAGAATATATCATTAAGGAAGAAAAAAAATTTTTTTTTCAAAAACATTTTAATTAGCTAAATATTATTTATTGGGCCGCATAAAAAAATTTCTCTTTTTCTTTGAACGGAAGATGTAAAAAGAATAAAGCAGGGTGCAGACAATGCAACATGTAAAATTTTTATTTACTCTAGCAAAACAATAGTCGATTGACTACAAAACAGTTCATGACTTATTTCCATTTTAATAATCAGTTAAAAATTTGTCAACTTTTCTAATAAAAACAAATAAAATAATGACAATATTTCTTTACAATTGATTGCAAAATTTGTAGAAAATAATTATTAAAAAAAAAAAATCAAAAGCGCTATAAAAGAATTAATTAAAGATTCACTTCATAAATTGGCCTTTTCACTATACCGCGCTACTCGGATCGAATTTAAAAAAGCTTAAGAAAGTATTTTAGATTTCAAAATACATTGAAATTGAAAGTTTAAAGTAATTTGAATTTAAACTGTTTCAAAATCACAATAATTTTTATTATTCTAATGTTTTTTGGGGGAAAAAAAAAATTTTTTATTTAGCAAACAAACTTATCAATATTTGTTTGTTTATTTGAACTTTTATATATTTTCTTTCCTTTTTTTTCCTATCTTTTCAAAGAGAATCGAGTCTGAGAACAGGTGTGCAAACGAAAGTGTCATCTGAATGATCTCATCAGAAACCGGTTGAAAGAAAGGTTCAAACTCGATTTAATATCGTTCGTGTATTGAGGTCAATTTCTATATAAAAACTGAGTCAATTATTATCATGAAAAATAATAATAAACGCCCATCATTTATTTATATAATGCTTTATAATGAAAAATAATTATGAACAATTATTATATAAATTAATTACTCAATAAATCGAAATTTATTAAATTTTTAATTTAATAATTATATTTAAATTTATTTAAGTATTATATTATTTATATATTTATTTATTATATATTATTTTATTTATATTCATATTTATTAAAAAGAATAAAAAAGTTATAAATAAATTATTTAAAAAAAATTTTTAAACTTGCTAAAAAAAAACTCGCCTTGATTAAAAAAAAAAAAAAAAAAAATCACATACATAAAAAATAATTTTCTGAGTCAACAATCTGAATTTCTGAAAGAAGCGGAAGTCCTCAAAAAATTTGCAATCTCTTTAAAGTATTTCATAAAATATGCGATTCAGAACGAAAAGAGAGTTTTTTTTTAATGGAAAAATTTCTCGCAATTTGAAAGAATAATTAATTGGAGGGTCCCATATATAATAGACTTTTTGAAGATTCTGATAAAAAAAAAAATTAATCATTGCTTTATTGAAAAGAGTGGCAAATCTTAAAACCTCCCACCCCTGATCCTTTAGGGACACCACAATTCTTTGGCGGTAGAGGCAACTTTCAGCAAAAGGCCTGCTATATAAGAGAATGTCCTACCGAACTCTCGAGATAAAACCCGTGTGTGTTGTCTGTTTCGTGTCTATAGTGTGTTACTCCTTTGTCTTAATTTAAAAAAAACAACAGGTAAGTGGAGGACATTTAAATTCATCAAAAAAAAAAAAAATTAAATGCCAATTTTGCAAAAAAAAAAAAAATAAATAATAATAGTCAGTGATTCAAAAAAAAAATTAAAGGTGTGCGTGAAATCAAAAAATTTACCAATATTCAAAATCGTGATTAATTTGTGTATTTGTGATTTTTACTCTAATTAAATGAAAATCAACTTTCAATTATATATATGTGACGTGTTCAGAAATACATCAGAATTTCACAAAATTTATATCTCGTTTTTGGATCCAAATATAAATCACAAATTCAATTTTAATTAGTGTTTTTTAATTAGTATTTAATAATTAATAATTAAATCATTAAATAATACTTTAACTATTATTTAACGATTTAATAATCTGGTTATTATTAATTAAATTACTTGTTAAAATAATTTTTTTATTAATTAAATTAATTTATTTTATTTTCTATAATTTAATTGATCATTTTTTTAGAATATAGTTAATTTAAAGTTAGTTATTAAATTATTTGAATTTATTTAAACAAAATTATTAAATTTAATAATAATTAATTATTCTTACATTTTTTTCTTAATTAAACTTTAAATTTGTCGCGAATTGTACTTAATTTGGCAATATATTTGAATCATATTTTAAATAAACTTAAATTAAACTATCTACTAATTGGCAGTCAATTAAAAAAAAAAAAAATTACAAAATAATATGTAAATTAAAATCGAAAGTTAAATTTCACTAATTAAAAATTCTAATTATTTTTTAAACTAATAATTTAAAAATCGAGAACATTGAATCTATAAGAAAAAGTTCAATGAACCAAGATTATATATACGTATCTATACTTTCATTTGATTTTTTCAACAATTAGTATATATATAGAGCCTCTAATAAGCAATCGAGTCAAATTACGCGAATAAAAGTGATTTGAAGGCGCTAAACAGAAGGCAGAAATCGTATATAATTTAATATAGGACATAATTAAGAATATATAAACCGGTTGGAAATTAATCCTATGATTGGAAATAATAATTTCAATCGTAATTCAATATATAATACACCTGTACCTCATCACAATAAAAAGAAAATCTTATATTAATAATCATAAAAATTATAAAAAAAAAAAATAAAAATTGTATAAAATAAGATTTTCTTTTTACTTATCTTTGCATATCGTAGAAAATATGGTGATGGATTAAAATAAACTATATCTTATTTTAATAAAATATTTCAACTGAATTTAATGCAATATTTTCAATTTATTTTAATCCAACACAATATGTATGTTACTTTTTTTAAAAAAAAAAATGGCTAAGCATTTATTTTGAGAAAGGTAATAATTTGAAGTTAATAAAATGCACTTAAGGGTAATAAAATCTGCTCCAGATTTCCTCTTAAGATTTCTGTAAAAGTTTGTCTAAACTATACATATATATAAGAACTGGTTTACGATTTTAGCTTCAATTTTAGCTTAAAGGTATATATATATATATACCACCGACCAGTCTATTATGTATAAATGCGGACACTTCTCGTGTTCTCCATTTTACAGTAGCCAGGACAACTATCTCTTTTTCCGTTATGCAACTATACTTTTCTCGCGCCTTCCCGAATTACTTGCAACTGTCACAGAGACTCCAAATTCCGCGCCGTTTATAAAAAAAAGAAAAACCAACTGAAACTGATCCGTCAATCGTTCGTATTGCTACATCAATCTCTGCAATTTTATGCAATTTCTTGAAACCTCTTAAATCATCAACGAGTTTTTTCTTTTTTATTTGCTAAGAATATGAACAAAATAAGTACAATGAAAAAAAGAAATTTATTTAATTCCAATAATTTGGTTACTTTACTATTATCAAATAAATATTTACTTGAATTAAATAAACTATATTAATTGACTCAAATAATTTTTACTTGAATTAAATAAACTATATTTAATTGACTCAAATAATAATTATTTAATTATTTTACAATTATTTAATACAAATAAATATTTATTTCACAGAAAATTAAAAGGCATTAAAATAAACTGCAACACGCTTATTATTTTAATCCAATTTTGCTTATTTTAATACCAAAATGGATTAAAATAAGCAAAATTGGATTAAAATAAGCAAAATTGGATTAAAATAAGAAGCGTTGCAGCTTATTTTAATGCCTTTTAATTTTCTGTGAAATAATAGTCAAGTAACCAATGATTTGAATAAAATAATTTTTTTTACGATTACAATGAAAAAAATTTATTTGGTTTAAATAATGGTTACTTGACTATTGTGAAATAAATATTTAATTAGACCAAATAAACTGTATTCGAATCAATAATTTATATTTTTAAAATACCTTTTTAATTGACACTCAAACAATGAAACATTTATTCAAATAGTCAAGTAACCGATTATTCGAATTAGATAATTTTTTTCCTATATATATATATATATATATATATAAGAGATTCAAGTAACTGCATAAAAATATAAAATTAAAACAACTTAATTATTCAAGATTAAATCATTTGAGCGAAAAAAAAAATTCCGATTTGTATCGATCACTTGTCTAGACCAGCATATATTTTATAACTCCTATTTAACATTTCGAGTTTAAGATCTATAGATCAAAAGATGCATATCAAATTTCAGTCAACACGATCAGTGTATAGACCAGTCATGAAAGAAAGTAACTAACGTGCAAGCAACAGTGCACCAACATGAAAAATAAGAGAAAATATTCGAAAACTCGCGGAAATTCGTTTGTATAAAAAAATACGATACGCACAACTTCCATATAATTTGGTAGCTCTAAAACACTTTCTCTTCTATATAAAATTTATCAGTTCCTTAATCAAAATTTCTATTTACTCTTATTATTCAACATATATATAATATTAAAAATATTTGGAAATTCAATAACAAAAAATTGATATTCAACAATAAAACATACATCTGAATTTAAAATAATAATCGAGAAAAAAGAAAAAGAATATTTCAAGAATAAATTTTTCTTAAAGAAAATAGAAAACTTGAAAATGTCTATATAGAATCTATTTTCACCTTGAGGTTCTTGAAAAAATTTTTGATAAATGACAAACCGAGTGCAATGTATCATGTATAATGATGGGCACTAAAAGAAGAATGGATTGTCGTCTTTTACTGAGGAAAGTGCAACTTATAAAGAACTAGTAAAAAAAAATATATATATATATATATATATATAATAATACAAGAAAATCGTTTCCCCGCAGGTAGATTCATACTGCGTCGACAGAGAAAGTTATCGTAATTTTACTGATCAACAGTAATCATGCCAGAGAAATCAGAAATCGCGCGAGATCGAACCAATAAAAAAAAAAAAAAAAAAAAGTCTCATCGACTTGAATTAATCAATCTCTTGAAACAAATCGTGTTTGCGAATCGCTTCAATGGATATATAAAACTATTACATTAAGTAATAATTAATTATTAAATAATCAAAAAAACAAAACCTTATTTAACTTACAGGTTAGTTTAATTTTCCGAATCTAAACGAGTTTATGGTATTAACTACATTTTCTCCCCTGCATGGTATTTTCCTTTTTAATTAATTTCATTTAGTTGGAATTTCTCTCGGGAAATTTTTTCAAAGAAATCAAATTCCTCTTTTCCTAAAAATCATTTACACACAAATTTAAAAGTATCAAACTGATACCAAAAATATCAAATTGATACAAAATTTTTATATCAATTTGATACTTTTAAATTAGTGTGATATTTTATTTGAAACATTCCATCAAAAATTTTAAATATTTCCTGACATTAATATCACAATAAAATAATAAAAAAAAAAATTTTTTCTTAAAATTAATATATTAATACTTTTCATAGAGACTGTCACACATTAGGTGAGACACCTCAATTACTCCTGAATTTGCATTGCATGCAAGATACATATATATATATATAATCGGGACTTTGGTTCAACGGTTTGATACAGATAAAAATTTTTTACGCAGACCCCTCTCACTTTCACTCGGTCACTGACCAAACAGGACTGAATCTTAAGTCTCGGTCTGCTTCCTAATGATAGTTGTATATATATAGCTATATAACCGCACTCTTTAATAGACACGAGGAATGTGTTTCATTAAAAGCGCCCACATAATTATAACATTCTTGCCCTTTTATCAGGATCACATTACTTCACTATTGAAAAATATTGCTAAATCTTAACTCCTATATATAATAATAATATAATTCTCCTGAAATATAAACTGTCAAAACAGAAAATTAGATATTCGAATGAAATTAACGGTCTTAGATCGACCTTCGACAATTTTCCTCAAGTATAATTTACATCCTACAAATACAATAACGAATGGATTTAATGAAGCGAAAAATTATTCAACTAGAAATATTCTATATAAGACTTTCCCTGACGACATTCTTGTGGTGATTATTTTGTATCTAATTACGCCTTGATTTTTTTTTTTTACTACTAACATTGTTAATTAATAATCTTTGTTTTTTTTAAAGGTTTTTTTCGAACATTTTTTTTTCTATTCAAAAAAAAGAATATTTCAAAAATAATAATTTATAAAAAAAATCGAAGAAAAAATATTTTCATTTTCAAATGATCATTAATTTTCCTCTTTAGCGCGAAATCATTAAATAAATCAGGTGTTTCATCTCTATAAGAATCATAATTTCATATATATATATATATATATACAGTCGCCTCTCGATAAATTGAACTTCAAGGGACCGTAAAAACAGTTCAAATTACCGAGAGTTTTATTTATCGCATGTTTTAATTATCGAGGGGAAATTTGGGGAAATTCAAAATAACAAGAGTATTGAAAATTTAATTTTTACGTATTTTAAAAAGACATTCTTTACAGTTGGATATAGTCTATGTAATCTTTTTTGTTTTAATGTACTCAAACGTGCAATATCTATATATTTTTTTCAATTGTCATTAGATCTGTAAAAACTTCTCCGACTTCCACGCGAAGTGCATATGAGTGCAAAGCATTCAAAAATGATCTCGCCTCTTTCAATGTGACATCTTTTTTTGTTGCTCCTCTCTCTACCACCTCAATAACTATTTTCCTTTCGGAAAAAGATAAATTTTTATTGGTTCTTAGAAACATTTTAAACGATATAAACCGAGGCAGATAGCAAAATGAATTAAGAAATTACTCAGCATTGTTAATAATAAGGTAATTAGGTATTGTATTGACAAATGAAACAATACAATAACTATTATTAAGAAGAGAATATTTTGTACGTAAATATGTAAATTTGTATCGCAAGAAAAGTTCAAATTATTGAGAGTTTGGTCTGGCTGAATTCAATATATAGAGAGTGAATGGAGAAATTGGCCAAAAGATACTTTTAATTATCGAGAGTACATAAAACCATTGTTTATTTTCAATTTACCAAGAGTTTTTCAAGGGACTGGACTGTTACTTCAATTTAACGAGAAATTCAAATTATCAAGAGTTTAATTATCGAGAGTCAACTGTATATATATTTATTTATTTATATAAATTTATACAATGGATACTTTTAATTGGTATAAAATCAATCATCGCAAAGTTCGCGAATCAAGTATATATATATATATATATATATATATGTATATGAAGATCGTAGATCACGAAATGTGGGACTTTTGAAAAACAGGAAGATTGTGCAGTTAAAACAACGAAACTTGTGCACGATCGTCGTTAATCCATCGTAAGTACCTGTGTAGTAGGAATGATGCAACGCGAATTGGTTATATTATTAAATGCATAACTGCCGTTAAACTCTGACCTTTGCACAGTTTATGCACTTCAGCATTGCAAACAACAAGAAAAGAGATTTACGTAACTATCTTGTTTCAACTTTCGTGGAAAATAATTTATAGAAATCTTAAAGGATGAGTAAAGGTACATCCAACTACCTAAATCCATTCTTCTCTTTTCCCCCTCCCCTCCCCCAAATATTTCTCAATATTTGAATCACAGCGAAACAATTGCATTGAATAAAGAACAAATCATATTTTCTGTCAAATGCATATGCGAGAAAAACAAATTTTTTTATACGAAAATATATAATTTTTTGAATAAAAAAAATTAAAGAGAAAAAAAATGCAATATACACCACAGCAATAAAGAATTATAGAAGTTAATGAAGAAACAATACACACTTTTCTGAGGCTCTCAAATTTAGACCATACACTCAGAGAAATGGTATATTTTTCTCCGAGCCTACTAACTCATTTATTTGTTGCAAATATATTTTATTTCATTGAAATAAAAAATTTATTTGAGGCAAAGAAAAATTTATTTCTAACAAATAAAACTTTTATTTACGCCAAATAAATAAGTTAGTAGGCTCTGAGTCAAATATACGTTTATTTAACTCAAATATATTTTATTTGGTTCAAATAAATCATTTCTCTGCGTGTAAACAGCATCAAAACGTTGCATTATCAACAATTTGATACACTTTATGGCCTCAATTTGAGATCCTAAGAAAAACTGTGATAATATAATAAAAAAGAAAATAAAAATGAACTATTAAAATTAATAAATTGTAAAAAAAAAAATTCAATACACACTTCTAGTATAGAATATAAATAACACTGATCAAATCGATTAAATAAAATTATTAAAATTGCAATAAACAAATTGTTATAAAAAAAAAGTTCCAACTCGACGACAAACAAATTATGGAAATCATTATAAATAAATTAATTCAACAGAAATTAAGATAAAAACGAATAAATAAATTATTAGTAAATTGTAATTTGTTAAAAATGCAATTCTATAAAAATAAAATAAATTGAATAGAAAAAATTGCGAAATATCTCTAAATGACTAAACAAAATTTTCATTTAATACTATTTTAACAAAAACAATTTTTATATAATAAAATGTTTTTTATTTTTTATTTTATAAAAACAATTTATAAAAATAAAAAATTAAAAAAATTGCAAAATTTTTCTATAAAAATTGTAATAACAGTAGAGACTCCATTATCCGGACTAATGGATGCAGGCGCTTGTCCGGATAATCGAGTAAAGTACGAATTAAACAAATTTTTGATTCGTAATTTCATATATTTATTCGCATATGTATTAAAATAAGACTGAAAACAACTAAAACTTTTAAAGTCAACATTAATAAATGTTTAGTTAGAAATATTTCAAAATATTTGAATAAACATTTTCTTAAAATAATTAAAACACTTTAAAACGCAACGTTTCGTGTAAAAATTCACGTTTTTGAATTGACTTATATGGTATTTAATTTTTATTAAAATATTTGGTAATTGTAAGCGTAATTGTTTACGGCTTGAAACTTTATAAACTTTATATTTAAAAAAAAAAAAAAAAATTAATTTTAAATTTGTCCGGATAATCGAATATCCGGATAATAGGGGTCCGGATAATGGAGTCTCTACTGTAATACAAAAAATAATAAAACAATCATAAATTGTTAAAAACTCACAGAAAATTAAAAGGCATTTAAATAAGCTGCTATTATTTTTATCCAATTTTGCTTATTTTAATTCATTTTGGTATTAAAATAAGCAAAATTGGATTAAAATAATAATCGTTGCAGTTTATTTTAATATCTTATAATTTTCTCTGCTTCGATATAAACAAAATATTATAATAAATACACGATAAATTACAAATAGCTAAATTTTTATAAATAAAAAAATCGACAAAGAAAATTAGAAAATAATTTGTTTCAAACAAATTAAGAATTACTCCAAACAAATTCTAAAAAAAAATCCTTTTTATAAACAAACTAATATTATAAAACTATTTATCTATTTATATAAATACATAATTTTTAACAATTGCAATAAACAATTTTAAGAAAAAATTATTAAAAATTCCAACAATAAAACCATGATGATAATAAGATAGACAAAGAAACATATATATATATTATAAGATCGAGTTGAATGTCCACCACATATCCATAAAAAATGCAAAGCAAGTTTAACTTTCGCTACAAAATAAGAGAAGCAAATTTTTTCATATAATAAACAACCAAAGTCAATAATAAAAATATTTTTAAAAAAATGCTAAAGATAAGACTAAATAGATTAGATTTATCAAACCGGATTCTAATAACTCTTGCAAGGGGTGAAAAAATTCATTTCCTGAAATAACTTTCGAATTCTGCACGCATTCCTAACGGAGTAAAAGGTCAAGATTCATATACATATATATGTATATATAGTATTATGATCCATTAACTTGTATGACGGAACACGAAGTAAATGTCAGACAAGGCGATAAGGCTATAATTAATAATATTGACTGTAACTATTTTTGTTAACAATATCACTTAATATACATATATATATATATATATTCACATACATGTATAAAGTGTAGTTAAAGGACTTTTATACACGAATCGAGAAACTACCTTATTCGAGTTTTACGCACGTTCTAGAAAGTAAGACGCTTTCCACGATTTGAATTGTGACCACTTCGCATGCAAAGCGTATAATATTAAAAAGTCAAATATATATTATCTCATTTGATTTTTCGAAATATATCATGATTGACCATAATTTTATTTCAATTGTTATTAATTTATTTAGCAAATAAAAAAATAATACCAAAATTATATATTAAATTTAGTGTCTTAAAATGTGAAAACAATTTTATCAAATTTTTTATGGAATTAAAAGATTATTTTTTTTTTTGAAGAACTTAATTAATCTAAGAAAATTGACTTTCACTATAAATTAAATTGCCAGAAAATATATAATTAATAAACAAAAAATATAAACCTATAATAAACAATTCATTCACTTTCATTGAAAAGGAAAATGAACTCGATCGAGTTCAAGACTATATATTTATAATTGACTTACGCCGAAAGTGAAATTATAACTTATGAAAGTTGCGATTATATTTGATTCAAGTCTATATAAGGATATTACTACAATAATGAATTAATGAAGCTAATTTAGACACATTTCTTTCGAGAGTATAATTCTGATAATTCCTATAAATATATTGTCTTTTAAAAAACTAAAATTCAATTTCATAATTTTTCGAAATCTCAAAAAATTATCGTATTTTATTATGAATGTAATAATTTAAAAGATAATTATTTTTTTAATTAAACCTAAAAAAAATAATTAAAATCCTGCGTTTTCTTATCGTCAAACAATATTCTCAAGTGTGTTCATTTTCACTTTCTCTATATATGGATTTAAAAAAAAAAAATGACATTTTCATTATCCAAGGATGATTCGTCCATGTGACTGCATTTTAGAATTAATTAATTCCACTAATACAAGTTCTAGGTCACGGACAGATGAGTAAAATGCTTTCAAGTCTCTCAATACACATATTCTACACTTTCTTGAATTCAAGTTCTGATGTGTGGACTTAAAGGCATTTTAAAGAGAGAGAGTTATTATTATCCAAATGAAACGTTTCCCTACTTTTGCATCATTAACCCGATTTCATCAGCGAAATTCATTGGCAAACTGTTTAATTTTTACGGTCCATTGTCATATTATATAGAAAATATTCGCGATGCATTTTTGACAAATTTTTGAAAATTTCCCTTAATTACAAGTTAATAAATATATTTTAAAAATATTTTTTAATTAAACGAATAATAACACAGAAAATTAAAAGGCATTAAAATAAGCTGCAACGCTTATTATTTTAATCCAATTTTGCTTATTTTAATCCATTTTGGTATTAAAATAAGTAAAATTGGATTAAAATAATAAGCGTTGCAGCTTATTTTAATGCCTTTTAATTTTCTGTGAATAAATAATAAATAGTATTAAATATTTTAAAATATTTATTATTATTATTCTTTGTGTGAAAAATAAAATTATTTATCCTTATTATTAATTATTATATAATAATTATTAATTATACAATAATTAAATTGAATTTTTAAATATTTTCTTTATTTGCAGAAAAATGCACCGGGTGTGCTTATTACTGTGTTTGGCGGCTGCGACAGCACAAAATTATGATAATTTGGAACCAAGATCAGTTTCTTATCCCAGCAAAGGGAGTCTAGCACCACTTTATGTTCAAGGACTATCATCGTCTTCAGGATATCGTGACAATAGCTACGAGGATAATGCTGTAACTCCCACTCCTTCACCTACTCCAGTTTATCGACAACAACAGCCAGTAATTCTAAAATTATTATCATTATTATTATTATTATTATTATTATTATATTATTGTAATCTAAAATTTACAATTCCTAAATTTACAACTTTTAAAAATTTTCATTTAAATAATCTTAATATAAAAATTAAACAAAAAAAAAATTTAACTAATTCATAAGTCACACTAATTCATATTAATAAAAGTTTTTACTAATTTAGATTAGAGAATAAAAAATTTCTCACAACTTTTTAATAATAAAAGTAAAATTGTTAATTAAGGAAAATATATATATATATATATATATATATATATATATATATATATATATATATATATATATAAACCTACATTCAAAAGAAGAAGTTTCCCATTGGTTAAAAAAAAGGAAAAAAAAATTAAAGACAACCATTTAAATATTGTTTATGACTTATTTAAACCGCAACCGACAGATTATGTGCATATAAAATTGTAATATAATTTGGCACATATTACTTCAAACGAGGTTGTTTAAATCTTCTTTTTTTTACTGTTTAATTATATATATGGGATTTTTTTTACTTGTATTTTAAGAAAATATTATATTACTACACTATATAAAAAAAAAACTATATTCTCTGAACTTTTTGACTTCCGGATTTTTCTGAGTAATTTATTATATTGCTCATATATACATATATATTTATTCACATTGGCTTTCAAATTAATTCAGTTATGCAATATATTCACATGAAACCAACTCTCGACTTTGGTCATATCGATCTTGTAAACCAGTTTAAGAAATCTCGTTAATCATTATTATTTCCTGCTTGTGAATATTTGTAACTTGTCTTCTTAATTAACAAATTTCATGTTTTCTTTAATCAATTTTTATATCAAGTTGTAATAATTTTTCGAATTATAATTTTTTCAAAATTCTACAATTAAAACTAATTATAAAAATTTAACTTAATTAATTTAATTACAAATTAATAATTTAATTAATTAATAATAATATTAATAATAATAATAATAATAATAATAACAATAATAATAATAATAATATTAATAATAATAATAATAATAATAATAATAATAATAATAATAATAATAATAATAGTAATAAAATAGAGTTACAAAAATAATAAAAAATTGAATGTCGAGAGTAAAATAAAAATGGATATAAATTAATTTCAGATTTATCGCAAACCCTCCGCTAATCAGCAACAACGAGGTCCATTCCGTGGACCACCTCCACTAGGACCAAATGGACAGGTAGAAAATTTTCCAACTATTTTTCTTCTTTATTTTTAAATTACAAAAAAAAAGTTTTTTCCTGAATTTTATAAAATTTTGAAAATTACAAAAAGAGAATTTTTTTTTTTCTGATAAAAATATAATTACAAACAGAGACTTCCTGAAGAAGAATTAGAGGAAGAAAAAGAGGAACCTGATCGTCTAAGCCTTCTTCTTCCACAAAGTAAATTCGACTGTGTTAACAAACAAACTGGTTATTATGCTGATGAAGAACTTAATTGCGAGGTATTTCACTATTGTCAAGACAATGCCAAACATTCCTGGATTTGTCCCGAAGGATTCACATTCCATCAAGTGAGTATATAATAAATAAAAAAAAAAAATGAATTGATATTTATTCAATCAAATTTTTTTTTTATTAACACAAAAATGTTAAAAAAATTTGAAATTTAATTAAACTAAAATTTCAAATTTAAAATTTTTAAAGGTCGATAAAATATAATTAACTTAACCCTTCGTCGCAGGTTCATTTAATTTGCATGCCACCCAGCGGTGATATCAGTTGTAAAAAAAGTTCTCAATATCATTTTGTGAATGAATATCTCTATAAACCATTGAACTTGGCCGAAGCTGAGACCAAACCCAATGTTACCTTGAGATACAGCGAAAGATATTATCCAGCTGACATTTACACTGACGAACGTGAAAACGAATTTCAATCTACTGCCAATCGAAAACCTCTCAACCAGGTAAAAAAAAATTACCCTAATTAATATATGTTATAATTATCGAATTAAAAAGTAAAAATTTAAATTTTAAAAATCTGTTCGGTTCCTAACGCTAAATAAAAATACTAAAATACCAAATCTATTTAAATAATAAAATACCAAATTTTCAGCAATTATATTTGAATCAACAACAACAGCATGCAAGTCTCAATAGTTTACCATCGGGTGGTCGTCCACAACCAAATCTTTCACAATTTCGTCTACCAGTAAATCAAGTTTTTAGAAGTCCTGAAGAAGTTAATATTCCCTTACAACAAAGACGACCTCAACCACCTCAACAACTTCGAAGGTTCCCTCAAGTTCGACCCGAAGAAGAAGACTACGAGTAAGTCCAAAATCTACAGCATCGCAAGATTGCAATTAAAAAAAAAAAAAAAAAAAGTTTCACAAACAACGACCGCTTGTTAGTGGCAAAAAATTATTATTACCAAGGACTGACTAAAAATCTTAGATTATAAAAGCGATAAGAAAAGAATCATCCCAAAATTTTTTGATACCTTTTTTTTTAATTTTATATACATATTATGTCTGATTTTCATCAAAGAAAAAAAGAATTGCTTTTAGAAAACTGCTTGCAATGATAAAAATATGCATGCGAAAAATATATATTTGTAGTTTACTATTCAATATTGTTGATTATTGAAGGTTGAATTAAATCTGGTCCTAATGGAGCTACGAGGCCAGTCATCAAGGGAATCCTCATCATTCATCTGAGTATTCAGCGAATTTTTTTTTTTTTTTTTTCTATCATAATGATGAAAATTTTATATAAAAAAAAAAAAAAAAAAAAGAAAATAGTACGATCGATTTTCGATCCTGCGAGATTTTTTATTGTAAATATATATTAATTGGTGATATATCTAAACGTAAGTGATATATATATGATATGTGTAAGTTTGTCTACAAGTCGTATTAAAAAATTATAGTATATATGTATTAATAATATTTTATATGTAATTATAAATAACATGTATTTGATTATTAGCACTTTGTGAGAAATAAAATGTTATTGAGTTTATTTGAAAGACTTATTAAAAATCTTATAATTTATTATAATATCAATATTAATCAAATAATGACCACAAAATAATATTATATTGATATATTAGTTGAAAAAGTATTGACTAATTCGATTTTTTTAAATAAATAGAACTCGAAAAAAAATAATATTTTTTTTTTTTCAAATAATATATCAACGCTAAAATAGCAAAGTTTTGATTAAATCAACCAGAGCTTTTAATTCATTAATTAAAAAATATAAAAATATTTCTCACCACGATGACTCATCTGAAAATAATTTTTCATTTAAGGGGTTTCCTAAATTTTTTTGGTCAAAAAAATCGAATTTTTTTTTTCTTCATTTTTTGATAGGAAAGTATGTTAAGAATGTGTGGTTAAATCATTAGATCGTAATTCGCTCAAAATCTTAAGTTATTTAACAAAATACATATATATATATATATATATGCGTCTACAGATCGTATAATTAACCCTTTCGTGTCCACGATAAACCGAGCGAATGGATTTGCTTGAAATTCGTTACTCGGGGTGTTATTGGGGTCTCTGATTACGAATTTAATGTCAGATTTTAAAGATTCAAAATGGCGGATCCAATATGGCTGACAAGTTTTTTAAAAAGTGTTTAGATTGGCTCGAAATGTCCTACTCGGGGGTTTATGGGGTCGCTGATTACGAATCCGGTGTCCATTTTTCAAATTTCAAAATGGCGGATCCAATATGGCGGACGAGTTTTTAAAAAATGCTTGGATTTGCTTGAAATTTACTACTTGGGGGTTTTTGAGGTCGATGATTACAAATCTGAAGTCATATTTTAAAAATTCAAAATGGCGGATCCAAGATGACGGACAAATTTAAAAAATGCTTGGATTGAATATGATGACAGAATTCGAAAATTCAAATATAAAAAAGGTTTTTTGGTTTGCTGATAATAAACCCGACATGGTCATGGACCCAGTACGGACAATTCATCATATTCATATCATTTCATCATTTTCGAGCAAATCCGATTAGTTTTAAAATTTTTCGTCCGCCATATTGGATCCGCCATTTTGAATTTTTAAATTCTGACATCATATTCGTAATCAGTGACCCCAAAAACCCCCGAGTACCAAGTTTCGAGTAAATGCAATTGATTTTTAACTTTCATGTCCGCCATATTGGATCCGCCATTTTGAATTTTTAAAATCTGACATCATATTCGTAATCAGCGACCCCAAAAACCCCTGAGTAAGAATTTTCAAGCTGATTTAGTTACTTCTGCTTGACTAATTATAACCTTTTGATATCAAAACTTTAAACGCTTTTTTCTCAAAACACTATATTTAAAAATGGTAACCAGTAGAACTCAAAAACCGTTTGACCGATTTCAAAAATTCAAGTTGCATTCGATTCAGTGGAAGTTTTTGCAGGCCCTAAACCTCTAATATATTTAAAATATTCAATAATCAGGTTTTTGTGAGTGATTGATTGTCAAAAAATGGTGTTTTTTCAGTTTTTTGGGTTCCAAAGCTTGCCATTTTTTTAATTTTTGATTTTTTTTAATATCTCGAGGTTTAGGACCTGTATTAGGTCTTAAACTTTAAAATCACGTTTGATTTTTTTATTTTAGATGATTCTGCGATGAGCTACAGTGGTTACCGTAAAGGACTTTGATTTTGACCAGTGTACATAGCGACCTCTGTAGAAGGAGCATAATAATATTTTTTAAGATCGCAATTTTTTTTTAAATAGTTCTTGACGTATATAGTAACATGTAAAAACTTTTGATCAATTATATTTTAAAACTTATGAGTACACGATCTTTTAAAAACCTTCTATTTTAGGGCAAAAAAATTTAGGAAACCCCTTAAACAAAATAATATCGAAATACAGTTCAAAAATTCATAAAATATAAAAGAAAATTTTTAACCCTCTGTCTTTGCTAACGACCGCTAATTTAAGATCGGGACGCCTAATGAGAACTACGCGAATTACTTTCTATAGATTGAGTACAACTTAGCATATAGGCAAAAAATTGAACAACATAGTGACGAAAATATATAAATTACAAAGAAAACATGTACAAACTCAATTTGCTGAAATAAAAAGTACTGATTAGTCCCTATAAATTAAATTATTCAAAAATTTAAATTTCGCATGCATTAACTTTGAAAAATTAATTATAAATTCAATGCAAAAAAAAAAAAACTAGAGAAAGTCGTTGATAACAGTAAAATTAATAAAAATGTTATGAATTAATTTTAATTGAATTTTAGAAAGGAAAAAAAATTACTTTCAATTATAAACATTTAGAAAACATATATATACAATATAAATAGCACACATAATTAAACATAATACAAATAACATTGACAATAATATTAATTATAGTACTTAAGTACTACATAATTAAATATTACAATAATATAATAATAATTACAATAATATTAATTATAGTACTTAAGTACTACATAATTAAATATTATTGTCAATGGTGTCACTATGTTGTTATTATTCCTTCCCTGTTTAAAATTATTTAATAAAAGCTTTCATCAAAAATAAAAAAAAGAAAATTATTACAATAATCGTAAGTTAAAAATTGTATATCTATAAAATTAACTAATAAAATTTATAAACTAATTTACTGTAATTGAATTTAAAATAAAACACTAAATTCAAAAATTAATTCAAACAGGGAAGGGAGTTAAATAAAAAAAAGGACTCACCGATCGGTGAATCCCACGTTGGGGCAAAATTGTGACATCGCCACTTCACGAGCTCTTCTTGGGCCACTCCCGAAGATCCCTCTCTTCAGCGCACTTCTGCGCGAGGTCGGGAGCAAAAAAAAAAAAAAACCCCCTATAAAAAAAGTATATGCAGGGGCCACTTTTCTTCTTCCACATCCTTCCTGTCCTTCAGGTTGTTCTTTTGGCATGGACTGAAAAATTAAAACATTCATTAAAAAATTATAAAAACAGAAATTAGTTACTAAAATACCATCATTGACAAATCATTATTAATCAATTATGAATTTGCACGATAATTTACATGATTTATAAAAATTCATAATACAGAAATTTAAAATTAATTTGAATTTATTTATATTAAATAAATGGGAGATATTTGAAAAATTTTACAACTTTCTTATATTATTTTGTAACATGAATAATTAAAACTGATCCCAGATATATTTAACGTAATTTAGAAATTGAATTTCAAATTTTAGAATTAATCAATGAACAAAAACTTACCAATCCAAATTTCCCCATCAAGCAAAAAAAAAATACGATGATTTTCTTTTTAATACAATAATCTTCTTTTCACCGCTACTGCAATATCTGCCTGAAATATTAGATTTATTATTTATTAATTCAATTAAACAGATCAATATATTCATATTATGCTAAGCGTACATATGAGTATATTAGTATTAGATTCTTAAACATTTTGTCAATTTACAGTAAATTAATTAATAATTAATAATTATTAATTAATAATTAATAATTATTAATTATTAATTAATAATTAATTTAATATACTTTACTTCATAATTTTTTAATTAAATTAATAATTTATACAATAAAGAAATTAAATTTTAATTATCTTACATTGAACTGCGCTCAGCTATGCCCGATCTCCTCCGGGAGCAGCTCCGCAACAAACACCTCATCTCTCACCAAATAACACGTCTGCAAATAGACAGAAAAAAAAATTCTCAATAAAAACAATTTCTATATTTAGATAATAACTATTAGAGATCAATAAACAAAGTTTTGGTTTTAATTAACAATTATTTGTCTTTCTATTAAAAAATTATAATCATATAGTATAATAACAATGTGGTGACACCTTTATGTGATTCCACACGTGTCCACGTGGTTACTTTTGTGGTTATGTTTTGACAGCTTTAAATGCGTTGTTTCCGCTTTAATACATATATAATAAACTTCTACTTAGTTATATATTTTATTTAATTTCAATATAAAAATGTGTGGAATTTTCTGCTGTATACACAATTCAAAAAACAATGATTTAGTTGAGGTATAATAAAGATTTTTTATCATATTTTTAATTATTTATATAACAAAGTTTTAAAGTCAACTATTATTTGTGAGTTATTGTACAGTTAGAAAAAATCAAAAGTTTTTTTTAACTAGTTTCAATTTTTAAATTATACTATTAAAATTAACATTGTTCTAAATTAATTAATTATCTTATATATATTATAAACCAGTTGTAACATAACCTCTAATATTTTATCAATGTTTATATTGCTAAAAGTATTATAAATTATACAAAAGTGTATAAATTAATTAATTAATTTTTTTTTAGTGGAACATTTGTAAAGAAAGAATATTTTCTCGAGGTCCAGATAATGTATGTGAAAAATATATTAAATTAACAGATAAATGTTGTGGTTATTTTGGTGCAAGTATTTTATGGACTCAAGGATCAAAAATGACAATTCAACCTTGTTTAGATGAGAATGAGAATATTCTTTTATGGAATGGAGATATTTTCTCTGGCAATTCAATAGAATTAAACAAAAGTGATACATCATTTATTTTACGTTCTTTTCAATCATTAAATGTTTTACCTACACTTGAATTAATAAAAGGACCCTATAGTTTTTTGTATTATCAAAAATCCACCAATATTTTATATTTTACACGAGATTTATTTGGAAGACATAGTTTACTTGTGAATTTTAATTTAGTAAATAATTCATTAACATTTATGTCGGTGACAAGTCGAAAATTTCAAGATACATTTGAAATACCAGCAATTGGACTTTTTGCATTAAATTTAACAAATTTAAATTTTTCTAATTTAAATCTCACTTGTTTTCCATGGCGTACAACAAATAATATTTTTCACGAACATATTAAAAAATTAGAAACCATTTTTAATACTAGTATAAAAATTGAAAAAATTATCTTTCCATCACAAGAAGAATCTCTAAATCAAATAAATATTGATGAACATTATTTTCATGTCAATTTAGACAGTGAAAATAAGGAAAATATAATGGATTTACTTTTAAAAAGAAGTAATATTTTCGAGAGAGTAGAGAAAATAGAAAATTTATTAAAAACATCAATTGAAACAAGAATTAAAAAACAACCATCATATTGCAAGAATTGTATAAAATTAATTTTAAATAATGAAAATGTCAAATGTTGTCATACAAAAATAGGAATTCTTTTTTCGGGTGGTTTAGATTCTTCAATTATATCGGTAATTGCCGATAATTTTATTCCTGAGAATGAAAGTATAGACCTCATAAATGTTGCTTTTGAAAAAGTAAATAAAAATCCAAAAAACCAAAATAATGAAGAAATATATAATGTTCCTGATAGAAAAACTGGTAGACAAAGTTTAGCTGATTTGAAATTAATATGTCCAAAGAGAAATTGGAATTTTGTAGAGGTAAATATATCGCAAGAAGAATTAAATATCTACCGTTCATCACGTATTTCCGATTTAATTTATCCATTGGAGACAATTCTTGATGAAAGTTTGGGCTGTGCTCTTTGGTTTGCTAGTCGTGGAATTGGATTTTTAAAAGGAGAATCATATGAGTCTCCTTGTCGAATTTTATTATTGGGTATGGGTGCTGATGAATTATTCGGTGGTTATATGAGACACAGAACAATTTTAAAACACAAAGGTTGGAAAGCTTTGATCGAGGAATTAAAATTAGAATTGAACAGAATTTCTGATAGAAATTTAGGTCGAGATGATAGAGTGACTTCTGATCATGGAAAGCAAGCAAGATATCCTTATTTAGATGAAAATCTCGTGGAATTTGTCCAAAGTTTACCTCCTTGGGAAAGGTAAAAGAATCAAATTTTTTAAAATACATAAAAAATATATATATATATTATGAGCCAAAAGTTTTGAACGTTCATATGGACGAAAATTTTTTTTGTTCTACTTTTTTAAATACGAATTTTATTAAACAAAATATTGTTTAAAATATTTAAAAAGAAGTTATTAATTTAATAATTGTTTAATTTACTGTTTTATTTTAATTTTTATTATATATTTATTTATTTATTATATATATATTATTTTTAATAATTTATAGATTGAAAAAAATATTTCGTTCATATGAACGTTTAGAACTTTCGGCTAATTATATATTGTTGATTTTTTTTTATGCAAAATTTAATAATGTGCAAAAATTAAATTTGTCAATATAAATTTTTTAATTCATTTAGATGCTGTCCAACTGAGGAATTTCCTTGTGGATTGGGAGATAAATTACTCTTAAGATTAGTTGCTAAAAAATTAAATCTCAAAAATGCTGCAAATTTTCCTAAAAGAGCTTTTCAATTTGGTTCAAGAATTGCCAATGGAAGAGAAAATGCAAAAGACATATCAAATCGATTATAAATTTTAGGTAAAACAAGATGTATTCCTTTTTTAAAATTAATTAACATTTTTTTCTCAGCGACAACACAAAATTTTGAAAAATATTTTATTGACGATACCCATGTTTTTCGAAAATTTCACGCTCATTTGTAAAAAGTAAATTTTTTTGTATATATAATAAATATATATATAATAAAAATGTAAATATTTTAATAAATTTGTAAAAAAAAAATATACATGTCTTTTGTACACTGTAAAAAATAATTATATTTTAAAATTTTGTTAATTATAGAAAATAATTTTTAAAAAGTTGACAAAATTATTTTACTTTATTTATATATAATAAATAATAATTTTATCACTTTCTTTTAAATATTCGTGCTCTTTGTTACGATTGATCTGAATAAAAAAAAAAACAGGTTTTAAACTCATAGGGGAAGGAATGAGTCACAGTTTTAAGCCAAACATTGTTCGTCACGAAGTCACGAAAGTGGAGCGCTGCGGTCAATAGAGAGATAAATACAAAAATAATAAATTCCACGTTTTTTAATTACAAAGCAAAGAATTCGCGAAAAAAATTTGCTCAAATTTTTATAGGATAAATAGTTTTTGAGAAAAATTGTTTTTTTTTTTTTTTTTTTATAAAAAGTAGAAAAATTCTATTTTCATATATACATTATTATTTATTAATTATATGCATATATGTTATACAGTACAGAATTACTATTTCAACTAATTAAAGAAATTAATCAGCTTTTGTATTTTAATATTGTAAAATTAACATGCACGAATATAAAAGACGAAAAAAAATTAATTTAAAAAAACTCACAGATTTCAGATTTCCAACACGAAGCCATGGCAGTATAACCTCTATTGTGCCAGCTTTTCTCTGAATATCATTTGTATATTCTTCTACCTGCCCTTTTAATTACATATTTGTGAATACCTGAAAAATATAAAATATGTAATCTAATCATCCTTTTTGTAAATGTCTCGATAATCGAATAAGTTGACGAATATTTTCTTCGAAATTCACTTGCACAAAAATAAATAAACGCGTTAGGTTTTACGACTGAGGTTATAAATGGACATATATAATAATAACTTTAATAATCACTAGAAATTAATACAGAAAAACTGAATAACAATCGTCTGTACAGTAGATATGATCGTTGTTTCTTTGAGAACGATCAATCTGAACTTTGCAGTATTTAAGCGACACGATCAATAATAATTTCAGCCTAACAAATTAACGTTTATTTTGATAATCAAAGATATAATCAATTTATACGAATTTAACTTTCAATTATAATGTGGAATGTACAAAATGTTGACCCATTCCTTCTTTTTTTACAATAAAAAATGTAACGTAAAGCTAGGTCGCTACGTCACACTTTTCAAGATGGCGGACATTTTGGACACACTTCATATTATGAATTGATAATAAAATATTAGCCCAGGTTTGCTCGAAGGCAAATTTTCCATTTTTAAACAATATATGCCTAAAAAATCAGAAATATAACCAACTTTTACGAATATTTATTTCAATTGTGTCAATAAACATAAACACTCTGAAATTTAGCTGCGCCAAAAATCTCGATTACTTTGAAGTTAAAATAAATAGCCATTAATATAATTATTACCTAGACTCAATATATAAAACGATATTTAAATAGATATTGTCTTATATCGACTGCAATTATTAATAATATTGAATATCTGAAAAAAAGTCGTTAACCCTTGATTAAACTAGTAGCACTTACCCCTCCAAGATCCACATTGATACTGACGCGCAGTGTAGTTTTTCCACCCTCCTTACCTTTACTACATTCTATTGGCCAAGCGCTGGCCAATCAGCAAGCGCGTAAGTTTCGGCATAAAGGTGCATTCATATGTCTTTATATTTTCAAATTAACGAGATTTAATCATTATAATGATGAAATTCATAACAATAATTGCATTTTATTCTTATTATTAATATTATTTGATGAATTTTCAAAATAATTATGTTTATTACACTCGTAGAAAAAATGAAACTTTCAAAAATATCACACATTCCCAACTCTGGTCATGCACTTCACATAAACTGCCTTTTTTCTATTGGCAACAATGAATTTGATTTTTTTTTTTATGATAAAATTATAATAATACTAATATCAATATTAATTACAATCAAATAATTAGAAAATAAATTGAATAATAAAATAACTAAAAATAATATATATATATGTTAATAATAATAATTAATAATAATAAATGTAGTTAATAAATCCTCTTTTATTTACATATCTGTTGATTTCAAATTACATTTGTTTTCAATGAAATAATTTCCATTCGTTTTAAACAAGATACTCAATTATAATTATCTGAATTAATTAATTTTGTCATTATGTCATTAAATAAACACTGGATTAAACATGATATTAACTTTTTTTTCTACAAAAAACATTTAAATTCACTATTTAACAATAAGCATGTATATAAGCTCTACAGTTTAAAACCTGTTTTCATTCTATTTTATTAATGTACTTTGAATTTTTTGTTGTAAATTAAATTTGCAAATAAATTATATATACCAATTTCTAAATATACATGTTTGTAATATATTATTATTGTAAACTAAAAGATGCCTTTTTGCGAATTACTAAATTGCACATAAACCACGTGTATATATATAGATGTATAAACAATTAATATCATAAAGTTAAATAAATAATAAAAAACTAATTAACAATTCATTTTACAATATCTATTATACTGGAAAGCACTGCGCACGCAAAAACAAATACTGGGCATACTTTTAAATGCCACATATATCATAATTATTCATTAAGAATTCAAAATTATTTAATCATTAAAAACAAGTACAAAAAAATTTTTTTTAATTGCAAAATCGTGAAAATAATTAGAATTCTTAATTCATTGTTTTTATCAAATCACTGGAAGTATTTTACTGTATTCTTTCATAGCTGAAATTATAAACATTCTTTTTTTTTGCATATTATAAAAAAAGGAAAATTACCTGATAATAATTATCAAATTAATCGCAGATATAATCTACGATTTACAATAGAACCGTTTTTCAATTGTTCAAGTCATTGTATTGTATATCAACAGCCATAATAAATTGTTATAAATATTGTTGCATTGAAAAAAAAAATGATTTGATTAATTTATAATCAGTTATTTAACTAAATGAATATTTTACTATTTATATTATAAAATATTTTTTTGTTCATATAACAAATTATTGGAATCAACATTTTTTTTTTTCAATAAATTAATAACATTTTTTTCGTAAATGCACGAAAGGAAATGTTCACGTTATTATGTACAAACCTACAAAATTTATGTGTACTTTAAAAGTACTTTGTATTATCTATACTTGTGGTATCGTGTATTATTTAATGTTATGTACATAGTATAGTATTTAATTCGTTTAAATAATAGTTCAGGAGAAATTAGATATAAAAATAATTAAATAATTTGACACAATTTAAATTTAATTATAATTGAATTAAAATTATGATTTTTAATTAAATTTATTATTTACGTTTCTATTTTTTATTTAAATGTGAAACTCAATATTAATCAAATAATCACATTCAATATTATTTCTAATTCTCCAGGACTTTTTCTTTACCGATCTAAATACTATACGTACAGGCATTGTATGACTGTCAAATTAAATTTTCTTTTGACAGCAAGAGTATTTTTAATTTAATACTATGTTTTTTCTTTGAAAAAAAAAATCTATTCAAAATTCAATATAAAGTACTTAAAGAATCGATAATTTGATTAACGAAACAAAAAGCATAAACTAAAATTAAAGTTTTGATTATGAAATTCAAAATTCGATTAAAGAAAAAAAGAAAGTGTGTTTCTAAAAAATGCAATAAAAAAACTTATTAATTATATCAATAATTAATAAATTATCATTATGTAAATAGTTAATTTTAAGATAAAAAAAAGGAAGAATAATAATTAGAGTAATTGAATTTTACGTAATATGTGAGCAAAAAAAAAAATTGAGAACTTGAATATGAAACTATGAATTGTTTAAAATTTTGTTTTTCAAAGATTTGGTAGAACTTGAGTGTTTTAATTTAATATCACTGACAGAATTTTCTCGCTTCGTCTGACCACGAAGATCACCATTTAGATCCATGGTATTAACATTTGGTAATGTTGGTGTTGATAATTTTCCCGAAAGATCCATTAATTCTGCATGTATTCTAAAATGTAATCTCGATTCCAATGAATATCCAGTGTAATTTTTCCTGTAAAAATTGTTTCCATTTTATTTAAATTATATTAAGTGGTTATATTTAAAAAATAAATTAAATAAAAATTTTAATTTCAACAATAATTTACAGAAAGAATTTATTATAATAATTATATAAGAATAAAAAGATTTTTATATACTTGGCATCTTCTAAGAGTGATATTGCATTTTGAATGTTTCCCTGGTCTCGTGCCAATAGAGCAAGTTCAACTGCTGCATAAGGAAGTAAATAACTGTCTTCTCTAATCTGCTTTTCCGATTGGATTACTTTTTTCAAGCATTCCTCAGCTTGTAAAGGATGTTTCATTTGCCTTAAACATGCTCCTTTCAATAATAAAATAAGGGATTCATTGTCAACTTGAAATTCTGTTTTACTGCAATAAAATATAATTAATTAAAAAAATTTTTAATTTCATAATTTCAATAAAAAGGATATTAAAATATATTTTTCAATAATAAATTAAAATCTGAAAAAATAACCTACGATGCATTTTTTAAGATTTTATCCTCTTCTTCGATAGTCTGATACATTTTCATAACAATATCCTGTCTCTTTCCAGCAACTCGAAACAAATTCCAAACAAACATCAATTCATACATGGGCAATACTAAATGTTTCTTTTGTGCAAAATAACGTTCAACTTTTTTAATAACAAATTTCTCCATTGGCAATGATTTTCCAGCAATTCGTTGTTTAAATGTTGGCGCTTGCATTAATAAACTATCAATTGAATGTCGTTCGTCGTCTTTTGATGCATTCTTCATCATAATCATAATTGCCGCTTGTTGATAAAGATAAATAGTACGTGACCAATTTGATTCTTTAACAAGTAATGTCGCATATTTAAGTGATTGATCCCATTGTTGTTGCAATGAATGAGCCCACATTAATTCCCAAAAACAAAGATGATGAAATTGTGGCCATAAATCTTGACTCTTCCACGATTTTATATACCATTGAACACAATCTTCCAAATTGCCACGTGCAAATTCGAGTCGTGCTTTAAAAAATAAAAACCATACACCATTTGGATAGAGACTTAATTCTTGTGCAAGGGCATTTTCACACCAATTTAAATCGCCGTCAGTGTGACTTAATACAAAAGAAACAATTAAATGATACGAGAGCAAATTCATTGCACACAATACTTGACGAATTCCTCTTCGATCATTGTAACCCGCATGTAATTCCGATAAACCATAATTCTGTAAATATACATTTGTAAATTAATTTATTTTTTAGAATTATTATATTAATTATATATAAGTACCTTATCACCGGAAAATCCAATGAATTCGAGTAATTTTATTATCCTTCCTGGCAGCAATGATATCATCTATAAATATGAAAATAATAAACAAGAAAATAAAAAAAAAAAAGTTCTACAATATCAACAATAATTTTCATACCAAATTAAAAGAACCCAACCCCATTTGAACACCACTTTCAAAATGTGCTTTTTGCGATTCATTTTCCCATTTGCGAGTTTTTAAAATCGTTGCACATTCCCTAAAAATAAAAAAATAATAAATTGTCTTTAATAAAAATTCTAAAATTCAATTTGTATTATATAAGCATATCAAAAGCAAGTTGCGCGATATACTTGTAAGAAAGAAAACAGGTTCGAATTTTCAATCCAGCCTTGACAAAGCTGACCAGTGTTTCGTCCTCCACAAATGTAAGCATCGACTTCAATAGAAGAGATTCTGCATAGCACAGTTCGGCATGCACTTCCTCTGTAATAGTAATTTTATGTCATTCCCTGCATGCACTACAGTCTACAATTATTATTTCAACAATTCACCAATACAAATTTAAAAAAGAGAAATAAATTTTTTTTTTTTTAAATAATTTACTAGTAAAAATAATGTATTTAACTATTAAAAAAAATTACCAATTTACCAATAAAAGACCTAAAATATAAATTAGAAAAAAAAATCACCCAAAATAATTACAATTTACTAAATTTTCACATGCCATTTACTATTGTTAAACAAGTATAGTAATTTAACGAGATAACAAACGTCAATTTTTTTTTCTACGTAAACAATCTATAAAAGTTTTATCACTAAAAGAAGTATAATTAACTACAAAACAATTATATGATAAAAATGTGAATATAGATGAAATAAAGCTTTTAAAGGAATAATGGTTTTTTTCTTGTTGTCATTTTTAATTATTTATGTCTTATATCGAGTATATTTAACGATTTAGCACAAAAACAGAATAATAAATTTTTCTCTATTAATGTGATATATTTCTTGTTTTATCTGACTTTTTTTTTTGTTAATTAGTCACTTTAAAAAGTTGATCATGCAAATAAAAAGCGTCTTAAGCTGCAAAAAATTAATATTTTCTAATTTTTTAATATATACATTACCAAGTGTATAGGAATCGTAATTTGTTCTTTTGACCATTTTTCCAATATTTTGTGTAAGACTCGAATGTCTACGTTGTCTTGAACAAACGGCTATACATTGTTTTAATGATTCCGATGCTTTTTCGATGTATTTCTAAATTGTAAAATAAAATATTTTAAATATTAAAAAAAAGAACAATTGAAAAATATTTTTTAAAAAATCAATTAAAAAAAATACATACGTGCTCGAATGTAAGTATTGCTTCCAAAAATGCAAAGACACTGTTCCCTAAAGCATGATACATACTACTATTGGCCCATGGTTCCATTATTTTTTTTGCTTTTTCAAAATCATTATTAAAAAAATAATGAATAGCTTGCTTAGATTCCATTAAAGCTGTTTCCAAATCCATAGATGTGAGCCTAAAAAATACAAGTAAAAATTAAATCTTCTTGATAAAATAAATAATGTAGAGCAATAAATTATTTATCCGCTTATTGATAATCATATTTGAATTTTTTACAAGGAAAAAAAAAAAAAAAGTAATTTAGTAGCTAATAAGTCACATTTAAACAAAAATTGTCGAGTAATACATAATAATTACGACAATGATTGATGATAACGTTATTTAATCACACACAATCAGAAAGAAAAATACATACTGCGGTAAATTCTCCTGAGCATCTTGAAACTGAAATAAAAAAAAAAAAAAAAAGATTGTAAAATATAAAATTGTTTTCGTCAGATAAATTTAGAATAATTTTTTTTTTTCTAATGTGTTTCACTCACCTCATCTTCACCTTCTACATCCGACATGTTTTAAAGTCAATAATGAAAATCTAAAAAAAAAAACGAGATAAATAATAATGATGATACACATGACTATCTCATTATATATCAAAGTACAAAGATAATATCCTGAAAATTCTGAATAGTATATATTTTTTTATCTTAATAAAATTAAGAACTCTACTGGTATTTTTTAAAAATTATATTTATTTTCACGTGAGATACTATATAATTACAAATAAAATGAAGTAATTATTGTTTATTATGATTTATTATTGAAAAATTTTATTATATTTATAAGTATAGTCTTCGTTAACTTTCGATAGTTAAGTTAAAATAAAAATAAAGACTAGAAAGGGTAGTTAAGTAGACCACACGATAATGGGAAATATAATTAAGTTAGTTCAGCTTTCTGAAGAAAGGAAGACCTAGTTTTTTGCATTTAAATCTATGATTTGAAGAAAGTGAAAAATTCAAAACTTATATTTACAATCAAATAGAAATATTTCACAATGATTGCTTATTGAAAAAATTAATTTTTAATAAATAATTTGCAAGAAAAAAGATATATTAAAAATAAATATATTCTATAGAATATATATATGTATATATATATATATGATTCATCGCTCGAAAACGGAGACTGTACAAAATGTCAAGTCACAATAAAATACTTAACTGTATTTTTTTTATATTTTCAAACTTTAATTTTTAGCAAAACTAAATATTAATATAAAAAACTAAATAATAGACATTTTAATTATACATACCTATTGTCATGAACTATTATCTCCAATATTTAGATAAAACTGTATACATATATATTATCACGAAATTCTTCGTTTAGAAATTGACTATATATTTTTATCAATAAAGACTATAAAGATATATCATTGGAAAAATATTTTCACTAATAATTAAATAAATCATATAGATATATACAGGCAAATAATTAGAAAAAATGAAGGTATTTTTAGAAAATTTGCCATTTGTATCGGCTGATGACAGATGACTGACAGATGGAAATGTTGTAAATATAGGTTAAAGCTGGGATTACACCTCTGCAAGGCAAGGCTGGGAAGGTTGAAAAGAAATATTGTTATTATTATTGTTAGGGTGACTCAGGGTGACTGGGTGAGTTTCTATGTTTCAAAATGACTGAAGGTGCTTATATACCTCAAATTTCGATCAGATGAACATTATTTCTGGACCGTGAAAATGCGTGAAAAGTCATTTTCACGGCGGGTATTTTTGAATTGTTTTAAACAAAAAATGTTTTTTTAAGAAATATAATATTAAATAATTGTTTTAATATGTAAGAACACTTTAAAATAGTGATAAAAAGATGATTTGATTGAAAAATTTAGCAAATTTTGCTTTAAAACGTTTCTGCTACAATAAAGTGTAAAATGTCGATGTTTGTGAAATGGTTTGTACAGTTCACATGTGTACATGTTTCTTTCAGTTATTCGAAACAATTAGTTGAATTTAAATTTATTTGATTAATATTTCAACTTACCGATTTATTTTCAGCACTCATTATTTATTACAAGTTAAAAAGAACCGACATAACATAAACAAAACTCTGAGAGACACTAACAAGGAAGAAGCACTGTACAAACCATTTCACAAACATCGTCATTTTACACTTTCTTGTAGCAGAAAACGTTTTAAAGCAAAATTTGCTAAATTTTTTAATCAAATCATCTCTCTATCACTATTTTAAAGTGTTCTTACATATTAAAACAATTATTTAATATTATATTTCTTAAAAAAACATTTTTTGTTTAAAACAATTCAAAAATACCCGCCGTGAAAATGACTTTTCACGCATTTTCACGGTCCAGAAATAATGTTCATCTGATCGAAATTTGAGGTATATTGGGATCGGCTAAACTGCAATACGCCATCTGGTGGGGACCCATTCTCTCCCTCCATTTTCTTTCTTTGTCTCTCTTCAATTAATAGGTTAGAAAGAGTAGAAAAAACAAAATGGAGGGAGAGAATGGGTCAAAGTTACTAGATTGTTACTAGACCACCGTTCCCAATAAGCACCTTGAAAATCACTCGATTACTAGCTTGTTCCTTTGTGATACCAGGTGGCGCATAGAATCTTCCATACTACGGAGGCCATTTAAACAAAAAGAAGGAGAGGTCCTTTTTCTCGTGCAGAGCGTCACATATTTTGTATATTATTATTTTTCAGTAAAAATTTATTATATAAAAAAAGAGGAGTTAAAATTGTAATAATGGCATTAACAAGAAAAGCGAGTCATTCTGGAAGTTGGTATACCGAAAATGGTAAGATCTTCTTTGTTCTTTGTTTTGTTTCCTTTTTTTTCCTGCCATATTATGCGAATTACGAAATTTCATAATTATTCATAAGTTTAATTGTTTAATTCATCCTGAACAGTACCCTTAATTTTCACATGTATTTTAAGGTTAACTTTCTTTTAAAAATAAAAATTGAATAATTTTAAATTTTAATTTTCTGATTCTTGATTTAAAAAAAAAGAAAAAAACAATTTTACCACAATTAATTGTTTTTTTATTTAGGTGCTGAATTAAATAGACAATTAGAAGGTTGGCTTAATGCAGCCGATTTATCTCATGGACCTGCCAGAGCAATAATTGCACCGTTAGTATAATATTTGTTTAATTTTTTTGCAAATTGTATTTTTTTTTTTTCATTAGAATATAAAACCTTTTTTTTCAGTCATGCGGGTTATGGATACTGTGGAAGCTGTGCTGGATTTGCGTATCGTCAAATTAGTCCAGCAGTTGTGTAAGATTTTTGTTTTTTTTTTAATTAAAATTCAAAATTATCTATTTTTGAGAAAATAATTTATTTTCTACAGTCGAAAGATATTCATTCTTGGGCCTTCACATCATGTAAAAATATCAGGATGTGGTCTTTCTCCAGCTTCTACTTATCAGACACCTTTGTACGATTTGCGTATTGATCAAAATGGTGAGAATAATTCATATAAAAATGTATAATTAAAATTCTTTAAAATTTTTAAATCATAAAAATATAATTTTTGAATAGTTTATAAGGAATTGTCAGAAACGGGTCATTTTGAATGGGTGGATATTAATACTGATGAAGATGAACATAGTATTGAAATGACTTTACCGTATATTGCCAAAGTTATGGAAAAGTATGTAATTAATTTTTCTTTTTAATATTTAAAATTTTTTAATCAAATTTGATTTGTTTGTTTTTTTTTGTACAGCTTTAAGGACTCGTTTACTATAATTCCAATTTTAGTTGGATCTTTAAGTCCTGACAAAGAAGCCATGTATGGCAAAATATTGGCACCATATATGGTAGATCCACAAAATTTATTTGTCATATCTTCTGATTTTTGTCACTGGGGACAAAGATTTCATTATACTTATTATGATCAAGCGTGCGGTGCAATTCATAAATCAATTCGTAATCTTGATAAGATGGTTCGTATTTAAAAAAAAAATGATATTTTCAGTTTTAAATATTATAAAGTAATTTATTTAATTTTTTAGGGCATGGATCTAGTTGAGAGCCTAAACCCAGCAGCTTTCACTGAGTATCTTAAAAGTTACGGTAACACTATTTGTGGCAGACATCCAATTGGTGTTTTGCTGCAGGTAATATTTTTCTATACGAATTTAATTTCAATTGAATTATTTTTATTTCTTTTTTGTTTTAACATAATTAAAAAAAAAAAAAATGTGAAGATTTGCATAAAAATAAATATTTTTCTTTTCAGGCAATACAATGCGTACAAAGTCGTTCAAATGGTCAAAGGATGAATTTGAAATTTTTAAAGTATGCTCAAAGTAGTGAATGTAATTATATGCACGACAGTTCTGTTAGTTACGCGAGTGCATCATTGGTTGTTGAGTGATAAAAGATTTTTTTCTTTTCACACATTTCGTTCTGAGTATAGAATACTCAAAAACTTTAGTTGCAAGAAATTTTGACTAACACACAAAACTATTTACCGTTTTTGAAATACTTGCAAAAAAAAGCATATACAGATAATAATTTTTGCAAGAGACTCTTAATTTTAGATAAATCACAAATAATGGCTTATTACTTAAGCGAAATAATAATTAGAAGACAAAAAAAAAAAAAAAAAAGATATTCGACGTAAAGTAAATGTTAACGTGCAAAATTAATATTGAGGCTGTAATAAATTATTATTATTATAGTTTATATTTCACGGCCTCGAGAAAAATTATATATCTATATATATATATAAAAAAAAAATTGTATACAAGAAAAATTATCAAAATTTGTATTTTGTTCAATGTTGTGAGAGATTTAACGAGACTGTTTTTCTTTTTATTAAGAAGCATTTTGTGAAAGAAAAAAAAAACATTTATTTCTGCTAAAATGATCAATTTAGCAATAAGTATAGTTAGTAAATCGATTTATTTTGCAGTTCATTTTCAATATTGAAACGTAATTTTCATGATTTAATTTTTAAAACTGTTATCAGTTTTTGTCTCATTAATATAAATTAAATATTTAAATTTAATTGAATGAAAATTTTGGTTGAATTTTTAAAAAGAAATTGTGTAATTCGATGTGATAATGAAACAAATTTAATTCAATTCCAATGTGCGAATTGTTATCTAGGAAAATAAACAAACATTGTAAAAAAAAAATAAATCGTTATAAAAATTTAGGTATTTTTACAAATACCATATATATATATATATACTTACTGAATTATACTTAAAAAAAATTTTATTAGAGTGATATTAATTGCATTTTAATGACTTAAATATTTAGAAAACTCGTGTATAACTTCAAATATTAATTTGTTAATTTAGAAACACTTTATTTTCAAACAAATCGAAAATTTTCATTATCTGAATAAAAAACAAATCACAATTTTGTTATTTAATAGTTTACTTTTCAATTTTTGTATTCAAGATCAAGTGTAATTAAAATTAACATAGAAAAATTAAAAACATGAAAGACTGACTTTCATATTTAGATCCTATATAATAGTTCGTACATAAAAGAAAAATAGAAAATTTAGATAATTAAAAAATACGTGTTTCATCTTAAAACATTTGCAGTAAAATGTGATAAAAAAAAATAAATAAATAAATAATTGAGCTTTGTAAAAAGAATCTGAAAATAGAACAAAAATAAGATCATATTTTGTAACATAAAAATTCTAATGGTTCATTGTCTTCATAAAAATGATGAATATCATTTACCAAATTGATAATAGTAATATAATTATATGATAATTTGAAATATACTTACATTAAAAATAAATAGTATTAAATTAGATTCAAAATAATAGTTTTAAATATACTTACAATTCTCATTTAAATACTTACAATTCATTTAAACTTTATAATATTACACACTAACATTGATTAATGAACCATAAAAATTCTTATTTATAAAAACAATATATGAATATAGAATCATATATTTTTCGCCACAAATGAGAAATGTACGATCTCACGACTAAACATTTTTTTTACACATTGTCTATACAAATGAATAAAAAAAAAACAAAAAAAAAATGAAATTAGAAAATAAAAGTAGCAAAAAATCTTAATAATGAGAGTATTATAAATTTTTATAAACCTTTGACATTTTATTGTAAAGTAAAATCACATAAATAATATATTATCAGAAAATTTTCTTTTTAAACAATTTTTGTTGACTACTTATATATTATATAAGTTAAAACAATAAAAATTTACTATTTTGAAAAATGCTATCTTTCTGAAATTACATTTATATTTATATCGTATTGTTGATCCAAACCAACATAACAATCTGACATTATATAAAGAGTTAAAATTAAACGACCTGAAACAAAATTATATTTTTAATTTTAATTTAATTTATTTTGAAATAAAATTAAAAAATTATAAATTAAAAGTAATAAAAATTTGTAATTTTCAAAACGATTAATTTATAAATTTTTTTTTTTTTATTAAATTTAATAGCGTTACCTGATTTTGAGGGTGATGTAAATTGTAATTGATTATTTCGTCGTGGTCCATTGATTCCTGAAACTCTTTTCAATGCCCACAAATCTCTTTGATTAACATCACCTAATATTAAAAACCATCCCTCATCTTTTCCTCGCAAAAAACAAGGCGAATGAACTTTTAAATTTGAGGCGTGATTTTTTCTTCTCATTGTTACAGTCAATGTATAATCACGATTTTCATAAATATCAATAATTTTATTAGATTGCGATGAAAGACTAATAATTTTTTTATTTGTCTCTTCCTCATCAGATTCGGTAAGTGATAATTCTAAACATAATATTGGCATTTGACGCATAACTTGGTGTATCTAAAAAAAAAATTCAAAAACATTATTTTTTTTACAAATTATTTAATTAAACTTCAATTTATTAATTATTTTGAAAATTACCTCATAGACTTCGCGTTCTGGAAATTCTTTTAAGAATATATTAGAAAATTGACTATAATTATCGTACATTTTTGCACAAAGTTCTGGAAGACATTTAGGAATTGATGAAAAAAGAAAGAGATGTTCTCTATTTATGTGCGGTAATGTTAAAACAGCTGGTTCATCAATCCATCGGGCTTGAATTACCATTTGCATTAATTGCGTTAATCTTAAAGTTGCAATTAACCAACCATTCTCAGCGACCACATCAATCATTGCCTGGCAATCGAAAAATAGAATTTTCAAAATTAAATATATATATATGAAAAAAATGAAAAATTATAAGTTTAAATTTTGCTTACTTGTAAAATTCTTATTGATTGATCAAGAACAGATTTCAAATCAGTTGTATAATCAGAGCAAGGTACAGGTAATCTCGAAAAATGTACTTGCATTAATAAAAATGTTTTTGTATTTGGAGAATCGTATGTGAGACGATCGACTTGATATCTACACATTTTTGCCAGCTCCCTGAATTTTAGAAAAGTAAATTAATTTCCTAATCACTGGCGAATTAATTTATAAGAATAGAAATAAAAATAATAAAATATTTACTCATTAAGTAAATCTTCATTGTGTCTCACTGGTAATTCATCATATTCATGAGAATTGCACATTATTCGAAGATATTGTTCCACAGAGAGATTATCTTTCAATTCCTCTTTAAACATTAAAGTCGTTTGATGCGATAAATAATAAAACGAAGCTATTTTTCCCATGGGAAGAGGAATTAAACCCTGTTCATCCTGTAAATAAGTAATTTTGAAAAATGAATCAAATATTCTAATCGAATAATATAAAAAATAGAAAATAATAAAATGAAAACAAGTTGTAAATTCAGATGTTCATTACATGAACATTTTGCTTCCTCTTTACGATCAGCAAAAAAATTTGCTTCCTCGTGGAGAAAGCAAAGTTTTATTGCTACACTCAAAAATATTTTAGAAAAATTTTCGAAAAAAAAAATTTGCCAGATAATGACTCGGGAATAATGCCAAAAAATTGAGCAAAAAGTCTCGAACAAAAAATGTATGGCGCACTTTTTGATTGGTCCAGCGGATGCTGAGCTACACTCACTAAAACTGGGAAAAAATTTCCAAAAATTAAATTTGCGAGATAACTGCTCCGGAATACCGCCAATAAAATAGGGAAAAAGTTTCGAACAAAAAATGTATGGCGCACTTTTTGATTGGTCCAGCGGATGCTGAGCTACACTCAAAAAGATTTTGGAAAAATTTTCGAAAAATTAAATTTGCTAGATAATCGTTCGGGAATACAGCCATAGTGGTTAGAAGAAAGTTCTGAACAAAAAATGTATGGCGCACTTTTTGATTGGTCCAGCGGATGCTGAGCTACACTCAGATAAATTTTTTAAAAAATTTCGAAAAATTAAATTTGCGAGATAATTGATCGGGAATACCGCCAAAGTCTTAACCCGGGAGTCTCAAACAAAAAATGTATGGCGCACTTTTTGATTGGTCCAGCGGATGCTGAGCTACACTCAGATAAATTTTTTAAAAAATTTCGAAAAAATAATTTTGCGAGATAATTGGTCGGGAATACCGCCAAAGTCTTAACCCGGGAGTCTCGAACAAAAAATGTATGGCGCACTTTTTGATTGGTCCAGCGGATGCTGAGCTACACTCACTAAAACTGGGGAAAAATTTTTGAAAAAAAAAATTTGCCAGATAATGACTCGGGAATAATGCCAAAAAATTGAGCAAAAAGTCTCGAACAAAAATTGTATGGCGCACTTTTTGATTGGTCCAGCGGATGCTGAGCTACACTCAAAAAGATTTTGGAAAAATTTTCGAAAAATTAAATTTGCGAGATAACTGCTTCGGAATACCACCAAAAAAATAGTCAAAAAGTTCTGATCAAAAAATGTATGGCGCACTTTTTGATTGGTCCAGCGGATGCTGAGCTACACTCACTAAAACTGGGGAAAAATTTTCGAAAAAAAAAACTTGCCAGATAATGACTCTGGAATAATGCTACAAAATTGAGCAAAAAGTCTCGAACAAAAAATGTATGGCGCACTTTTTGATTGGTCCAGCGGATGCTGAGCTACACTCACTAAAACTAGGGAAAATTTTCGAAAAAAAAAATTTGCCAGATAATGACTCGGGAATAATGCCAAAAAATTGAGCAAAAAGTCTCGAACAAAAAATGTATGGCGCACTTTTTGATTGGTCCAGCGGATGCTGAGCTACACTCACTAAAACTGGGAAAAAATTTCGAAAAATTAAATTTGCGAGATAACTGCTCCGGAATACCGCCAATAAAATAGGGAAAAAGTTTCGAACAAAAAATGTATGGCGCACTTTTTGATTGGTCCAGCGGATGCTGAGCTACACTCAAAAAGATTTTGGAAAAATTTTCGAAAAATTAAATTTGCTAGATAATCATTCGGGAATACAGCCATAGTGGTTAGAAGAAAGTTCTGAACAAAAAATGTATGGCGCACTTTTTGATTGGTCCAGCGGATGCTGAGCTACACTCAAAAAGATTTTGGAAAAATTTTCGAAAAATTAAATTTGCTAGATAATCGTTCGGGAATACAGCCATAGTGGTTAGAAGAAAGTTCTGAACAAAAAATGTATGGCGCACTTTTTGATTGGTCCAGCGGATGCTGAGCTACACTCAGATAAATTTTTTAAAAAATTTCGAAAAATTAAATTTGCGAGATAATTGATCGGGAATACCGCCAAAGTCTTAACCCGGGAGTCTCAAACAAAAAATGTATGGCGCACTTTTTGATTGGTCCAGCGGATGCTGAGCTACACTCAGATAAATTTTTTAAAAAATTTCGAAAAAATAATTTTGCGAGATAATTGGTCGGGAATACCGCCAAAGTCTTAACCCGGGAGTCTCGAACAAAAAATGTATGGCGCACTTTTTGATTGGTCCAGCGGATGCTGAGCTACACTCACTAAAACTGGGGAAAAATTTTTGAAAAAAAAAATTTGCCAGATAATGACTCGGGAATAATGCCAAAAAATTGAGCAAAAAGTCTCGAACAAAAATTGTATGGCGCACTTTTTGATTGGTCCAGCGGATGCTGAGCTACACTCAAAAAGATTTTGGAAAAATTTTCGAAAAATTAAATTTGCGAGATAACTGCTTCGGAATACCACCAAAAAAATAGTCAAAAAGTTCTGATCAAAAAATGTATGGCGCACTTTTTGATTGGTCCAGCGGATGCTGAGCTACACTCACTAAAACTGGGGAAAAATTTTCGAAAAAAAAAACTTGCCAGATAATGACTCTGGAATAATGCTACAAAATTGAGCAAAAAGTCTCGAACAAAAAATGTATGGCGCACTTTTTGATTGGTCCAGCGGATGCTGAGCTACACTCACTAAAACTAGGGAAAATTTTCGAAAAAAAAAATTTGCCAGATAATGACTCGGGAATAATGCCAAAAAATTGAGCAAAAAGTCTCGAACAAAAAATGTATGGCGCACTTTTTGATTGGTCCAGCGGATGCTGAGCTACACTCACTAAAACTGGGAAAAAATTTCGAAAAATTAAATTTGCGAGATAACTGCTCCGGAATACCGCCAATAAAATAGGGAAAAAGTTTCGAACAAAAAATGTATGGCGCACTTTTTGATTGGTCCAGCGGATGCTGAGCTACACTCAAAAAGATTTTGGAAAAATTTTCGAAAAATTAAATTTGCTAGATAATCATTCGGGAATACAGCCATAGTGGTTAGAAGAAAGTTCTGAACAAAAAATGTATGGCGCACTTTTTGATTGGTCCAGCGGATGCTGAGCTACACTCAAAAAGATTTTGGAAAAATTTTCGAAAAATTAAATTTGCTAGATAATCGTTCGGGAATACAGCCATAGTGGTTAGAAGAAAGTTCTGAACAAAAAATGTATGGCGCACTTTTTGATTGGTCCAGCGGATGCTGAGCTACACTCAGATAAATTTTTTAAAAAATTTCGAAAAATTAAATTTGCGAGATAATTGATCGGGAATACCGCCAAAGTCTTAACCCGGGAGTCTCAAACAAAAAATGTATGGCGCACTTTTTGATTGGTCCAGCGGATGCTGAGCTACACTCAGATAAATTTTTTAAAAAATTTCGAAAAAATAATTTTGCGAGATAATTGGTCGGGAATACCGCCAAAGTCTTAACCCGGGAGTCTCGAACAAAAAATGTATGGCGCACTTTTTGATTGGTCCAGCGGATGCTGAGCTACACTCACTAAAACTGGGGAAAAATTTTTGAAAAAAAAAATTTGCCAGATAATGACTCGGGAATAATGCCAAAAAATTGAGCAAAAAGTCTCGAACAAAAATTGTATGGCGCACTTTTTGATTGGTCCAGCGGATGCTGAGCTACACTCAAAAAGATTTTGGAAAAATTTTCGAAAAATTAAATTTGCGAGATAACTGCTTCGGAATACCACCAAAAAAATAGTCAAAAAGTTCTGATCAAAAAATGTATGGCGCACTTTTTGATTGGTCCAGCGGATGCTGAGCTACACTCAAAAAGATTTTGGAAAAATTTTCGAAAAATTAAATTTGCTAGATAATCATTCGGGAATACAGCCATAGTGGTTAGAAGAAAGTTCTGAACAAAAAATGTATGGCGCACTTTTTGATTGGTCCAGCGGATGCTGAGCTACACTCAAAAAGATTTTGGAAAAATTTTCGAAAAATTAAATTTGCTAGATAATCGTTCGGGAATACAGCCATAGTGGTTAGAAGAAAGTTCTGAACAAAAAATGTATGGCGCACTTTTTGATTGGTCCAGCGGATGCTGAGCTACACTCAGATAAATTTTTTAAAAAATTTCGAAAAATTAAATTTGCGAGATAATTGATCGGGAATACCGCCAAAGTCTTAACCCGGGAGTCTCAAACAAAAAATGTATGGCGCACTTTTTGATTGGTCCAGCGGATGCTGAGCTACACTCAGATAAATTTTTTAAAAAATTTCGAAAAAATAATTTTGCGAGATAATTGGTCGGGAATACCGCCAAAGTCTTAACCCGGGAGTCTCGAACAAAAAATGTATGGCGCACTTTTTGATTGGTCCAGCGGATGCTGAGCTACACTCACTAAAACTGGGGAAAAATTTTTGAAAAAAAAAATTTGCCAGATAATGACTCGGGAATAATGCCAAAAAATTGAGCAAAAAGTCTCGAACAAAAATTGTATGGCGCACTTTTTGATTGGTCCAGCGGATGCTGAGCTACACTCAAAAAGATTTTGGAAAAATTTTCGAAAAATTAAATTTGCGAGATAACTGCTTCGGAATACCACCAAAAAAATAGTCAAAAAGTTCTGATCAAAAAATGTATGGCGCACTTTTTGATTGGTCCAGCGGATGCTGAGCTACACTCACTAAAACTGGGGAAAAATTTTCGAAAAAAAAAACTTGCCAGATAATGACTCTGGAATAATGCTACAAAATTGAGCAAAAAGTCTCGAACAAAAAATGTATGGCGCACTTTTTGATTGGTCCAGCGGATGCTGAGCTACACTCACTAAAACTAGGGAAAATTTTCGAAAAAAAAAATTTGCCAGATAATGACTCGGGAATAATGCCAAAAAATTGAGCAAAAAGTCTCGAACAAAAAATGTATGGCGCACTTTTTGATTGGTCCAGCGGATGCTGAGCTACACTCAAAAAGATTTTGGAAAAATTTTCGAAAAATTAAATTTGCGAGATAACTGCTCCGGAATACCGCTAATAAAATAGGGAAAAAGTTTCGAACAAAAAATGTATGGCGCACTTTTTGATTGGTCCAGCGGATGCTGAGCTACACTCAAAAAGATTTTGGAAAAATTTTCGAAAAATTAAATTTGCTAGATAATCATTCGGGAATACAGCCATAGTGGTTAGAAGAAAGTTCTGAACAAAAAATGTATGGCGCACTTTTTGATTGGTCCAGCGGATGCTGAGCTACACTCAAAAAGATTTTGGAAAAATTTTCGAAAAATTAAATTTGCGAGATAACTTCTCCGGAATACCGCTAATAAAATAGGGAAAAAGTTTCGAACAAAAAATGTATGGCGCACTTTTTGATTGGTCCAGCGGATGCTGAGCTACACTCACTAAAACTGGGGAAAAATTTTCGAAAAAAAAAACTTGCCAGATAATGACTCTGGAATAATGCCACAAAATTGAGCAAAAAGTCTCGAACAAAAAATGTATGGCGCACTTTTTGATTGGTCCAGCGGATGCTGAGCTACACTCACTAAAACTGGGAAAAAATTTCGAAAAATTAAATTTGCGAGATAACTGCTCCGGAATACCGCCAATAAAATAGGGAAAAAGTTTCGAACAAAAAATGTATGGCGCACTTTTTGATTGGTCCAGCGGATGCTGAGCTACACTCAAAAAGATTTTGGAAAAATTTTCGAAAAATTAAATTTGCTAGATAATCATTTGGGAATACAGCCATAGTGGTTAGAAGAAAGTTCTGAACAAAAAATGTATGGCGCACTTTTTGATTGGTCCAGCGGATGCTGAGCTACACTCAAAAAGATTTTGGAAAAATTTTCGAAAAATTAAATTTGCGAGATAACTGCTCCGGAATACCGCTAATAAAATAGGGAAAAAGTTTCGAACAAAAAATGTATGGCGCACTTTTTGATTGGTCCAGCGGATGCTGAGCTACACTCACTAAAACTGGGAAAAAATTTCGAAAAATTAAATTTGCGAGATAACTGCTCCGGAATACCGCCAATAAAATAGGGAAAAAGTTTCGAACAAAAAATGTATGGCGCACTTTTTGATTGGTCCAGCGGATGCTGAGCTACACTCAAAAAGATTTTGGAAAAATTTTCGAAAAATTAAATTTGCTAGATAATCATTTGGGAATACAGCCATAGTGGTTAGAAGAAAGTTCTGAACAAAAAATGTATGGCGCACTTTTTGATTGGTCCAGCGGATTCTGAGCTACACTCAAAAAGATTTTGGAAAAATTTTCGAAAAATTAAATTTGCTAGATAATCATTCGGGAATACAGCCATAGTGGTTAGAAGAAAGTTCTGAACAAAAAATGTATGGCGCACTTTTTGATTGGTCCAGCGGATGCTGAGCTACACTCAAAAAGATTTTGGAAAAATTTTCCAAAAATTAAATTTGCGAGATAACTGCTCCGGAATACCGCTAATAAAATAGGGAAAAAGTTTCGAACAAAAAATGTATGGCGCACTTTTTGATTGGTCCAGCGGATGCTGAGCTACACTCAAAAAGATTTTGGAAAAATTTTCGAAAAATTAAATTTGCGAGATAACTGCTCCGGAATACCGCCAATAAAATAGGGAAAAAGTTTCGAACAAAAAATGTATGGCGCACTTTTTGATTGGTCCAGCGGATGCTGAGCTACACTCAAAAAGATTTTGGAAAAATTTTCGAAAAATTAAATTTGCGAGATAACTGCTCCGGAATACCGCCAATAAAATAGGGAAAAAGTTTCGAACAAAAAATGTATGGCGCACTTTTTGATTGGTCCAGCGGATGCTGAGCTACACTCAAAAAGATTTTGGAAAAATTTTCGAAAAATTAAATTTGCTAGATAATCATTCGGGAATACAGCCATAGTGGTTAGAAGAAAGTTCTGAACAAAAAATGTATGGCGCACTTTTTGATTGGTCCAGCGGATGCTGAGCTACACTCAAAAAGATTTTGGAAAAATTTTCGAAAAATTAAATTTGCGAGATAACTGCTCCGGAATACCGCCAATAAAATAGGGAAAAAGTTTCGAACAAAAAATGTATGGCGCACTTTTTGATTGGTCCAGCGGATGCTGAGCTACACTCAAAAAGATTTTGGAAAAATTTTCGAAAAATTAAATTTGCTAGATAATCATTCGGGAATACAGCCATAGTGGTTAGAAGAAAGTTCTGAACAAAAAATGTATGGCGCACTTTTTGATTGGTCCAGCGGATGCTGAGCTACATTAAAAAAGATTTTGGAAAAATTTTCCAAAAATTAAATTTGCGAGATAACTGCTCCGGAATACCGCTAATAAAATAGGGAAAAAGTTTCGAACAAAAAATGTATGGCGCACTTTTTGATTGGTCCAGCGGATGCTGAGCTACACTCAAAAAGATTTTGGAAAAATTTTCGAAAAATTAAATTTGCGAGATAACTGCTCCGGAATACCGCCAATAAAATAGGGAAAAAGTTTCGAACAAAAAATGTATGGCGCACTTTTTGATTGGTCCAGCGGATGCTGAGCTACACTCAAAAAGATTTTGGAAAAATTTTCGAAAAATTAAATTTGCGAGATAACTGCTCCGGAATACCGCTAATAAAATAGGGAAAAAGTTCTGAACAAAAAATGTATGGCGCACTTTTTGATTGGTCCAGCGGATGCTGAGCTACACTCAAAAATATTTTGGAAAAATTTTCGAAAAATTAAATTCGCGAGATAATCGTTCGGGAATACCGCCAAAAAAAATGTTTGGAAAAAAGACGATAAAAATTTTTTTTTGAGGTATTTTTAAAAATCCTTTGGTCAGATTTGAGATATTAATATGATAAATGTGCCTACCCAGATCCGAGTAGAGGAAGACCATTTTTACCACCAAAAACGCATCCAAAAGCATAAAAAACTTACCAAAAAAAATTAATTTTTCTTAGGCAGACGATTTTATTGCATATTCTTGCACAAAATACACCGAAAAGTGTAGAAAAAAATTGATACCCTGATCCGAGTAGAGGAACACCCTTTTTACCACCAAAAACGCATCCAAAAGCATAAAAAACTTACCAAAAAGTTGTAAATTCAGATGTTCATTACATGAACATTTTGCTTCCTCTTTACGATCAGCAAAAAAATTTGCTTCCTCGTGGAGAAAGCAAAATTTTATTGACAAAATGTGAATTTTTTATTTTTTAACTTTCATTAATTCTTTAAATTTACCTCAAATGAATACTTTATATATATCGATCGATTCGTCTTGACGTAAAGAATACGATTTTATTGTATATAACATTAAATTTTTCTATTTAAAAATTTTTTCAATTAAAAAAAAATTTTTGGAAAAAAGACCATAAAATTTTTTTTTGGAGTATTTTTCAAAATCCTTTGGTCAGATTTGAGATATTAATATGATAAATGAGCCTACGAAATTTTATCTAAATCCATTAAAACCTGTTAAAGTTATCTTCTAAACAAAAAAGGGATCCACACACACACACACACACATACATACATCCGGACAATTGATCAGGATCTCATATAACATGTTTCTATAAAGAAAATAATTTGTTTCCGCCACTTTGAAAAGTTTTATAAACGAAAGGACTACAAAGCTTCCTCCACGAGGAAGCAAAAAATTATTAATATTTAGGTAAAATATACTTACATCGTCATAAGCAGCGCAATGCGAATCAGTCAATACTTTCAAAGTACCTTCAACTAATCGCGAAAGAAATCTATTAACATTTTCCGGCTCCAATGCATCTAAATCGTAATATCGTGGATTTTTCATGAGTCTTCGAAAAAAATATGTCCACGTTATATAATCCAAGAATTCCTGTTTATTTTTTATCGTCCCAGCAACTATTTCAGCATTCACATGATCGGGTAAAACTTCCAATAAACTACTCTCAACTGGAAATGGATCGTATAAAAATTTTTTATAAAAATTCTTTTTCACATCGTGAACAAGAACAACAGCAACTCCTGAATCATCAAATTGTGGTCGTCCAGCTCTACCCATCATTTGTAGAACATCAGTGATTGGCATATCCACATAACGTTTTGCTTTACCATCATAATATTCCGTTCCTTTGATAACAACCAAATGAGCTGGAAAATTTACACCCCATGCCAAAGTTGCTGTTGTTATCAGTACCTAAAATATTTTTATTTTGAATATATTGAAAATTTATTTTTTAGTTACAAAAAAAAATAAATTCTTACCTGTATTTTATTGTTAACAAACAATTCCTCAACAGTTGATCGATCACGATCTTGCAAACCAGCATGATGTAAACCAATTCCAAAAGCTAATGTTAATTTTAAATTTCCATCTTTGACATTCGCTAAAATATTGTCCATTTCCTCATCGGGCATATGCAGCCATTGTTTTGGATTATCCTCAGCCGCTAAATATGCAATCAAATCTAAAGCCGTTAATCTTGTTTGTCTTCTCGATGAAACAAAAACCAACGAAGGACTACATGGCGCATGTTGACGAATTGCCTGGAATGTAGGACGATTCATTGTCGCCATTCTTGGACAATAATGTTTTCCTGGAAATCCACTAATATGAACATCTAATGGAACCGGTCTCACTGATGGTCGAAAATTATAAAGTCCCATCTGTAAATAAACAAAAAAAAATTGTTCCATCAAAATTACAGACAAAGGGATAAATCTTATTTCTAATTTTTTTTTTTTAATCAAAAACTTACTTTACTGATACCGAGCCAATCGGCTAAATCGACAGCATTTGCTAAAGCAGTTGAAAGACCAATAATTCTCAATGTACGCGTTGTATGCGAGGCAATAAAATTTGTACGCGAAACAATCACTTCTAAAACAGGACCACGATCCTCACCCAAAAGATGTATTTCATCAATGATAATTAAACCAACTTTACGTACATAATTTCGCGTTTGCCAACTTCTACTTATACCATCCCATTTCTCCGGTGTTGTTACAATAACATTTGCACTTGAAATCACTTTAATATCCGGCGATACATCGCCTGTTAATTCAACAACAGTTTTTCCCAATTTTTGTTCTAATCGAATTTTCCAATCTTTCATTCGTTCACGAACTAGTGCTTTCAAAGGCGCTATGTACACAATCTAAAGAAAAAAAATTTTAAAAATTAATTTTCAATAAAATCGAATACAAAATACAATTCTTACTTTTTGCTCTGGATATTGTTTAAATAATCGAAACATTGCAATTTCTGCTGCAATTGTCTTTCCCGAACCCGTTGGAGCTCCAAGAAGAACATTCTTATCCGAATGATAGAGACAGTGAAAAATTTGCGTTTGTATTGGATTAAAGTGTGTGAATTTGTACAATTTTTCAAAACGAGAATCCTTTAACGCTGATACTGGCAATGGTTGTAATTCTAAGAGATCTGTGAATTCATTAATTCTCATTAAAGTATAAAATAAAAATATGTACAATTTTTCATGTGTCAAAATAAAATATTAATATTGTAATTTAGAAAAAAATAATTCACCAGTATGTGGTGGATGAGTTTCAGGTAGAATAAGATTTTTAAATGATAGTGGATGAATAACTTCACAGCCAAGCCAACGATCACTCACTATTTTCACTAAATATTGCGATGGAAGTGGTTCAGTTAATGGAATAGTCATCACTAATTCTTGTTCTAAATTATTATAAACCTAAAAGAAAAAAAAAAAAAGATTTATTAATATTTTTCAATAGTTTACACTAGGAAAAATTTAATAAATTACATTTTTTCTAGGCATCATAAAATATTCATAATGATGAATTTCATTATTATCTGGATCTTCTATCCACAACCAAAATGCTTCCCAACTTTTTCCATGTACACGATCGTTCCATCGAAAACGTGGAAAAATTTTTAAACGAATTCTTAATACTGAACGTGTAATTGGCTGTAAATTATCTTCCACCTCAAGTTCAGGAAATTCGTTACAACATTTTTTTACTAATTCAGCCACTTTGTGATTTCGCAACATACTTCCTAAAAAAAAAAAAAATGGTAATTGTTTTTAAATTTTCTATTTTTTAATTGTTTTTTCATAATTCTGTCTATCGAACAATACTTACCAATTTCTTTGACGTCCATTTCTTTTAAATTTTCCACTGAAAGATTTCGCATTTCTATTCTTTCAATTGCTTCAATTGGTAAGCAGAAAAATTGCCGTAAAGGACTCATGTGATCCCATTGTTGTAATTCCAACATTTTTGCAATACTAAGTATCCGGCCAGCCATAATTGCATTTGAATTACGCAATTCAATTTCAAATAAAGCTCTACAAATTCGCACTGCATTCTGTATAAAAAAAGAAAAATTAAATTCACAATATTTTATTAAAAATAAAAATTGATTCCTTTTTTTTTTAATTGTAGAAAGAAAATATTTACCTGTGTTATATATGCTTGATCAGAAATTAATGAAAACGATTTTATTCGTCCTCGTGATAAATAGGTTTGAATTAATACATTAACTTTTCCATGTATATTTTCAACTCCTCCTTGAGCGACAACTTCGCAGTAATTTGAATGCAATTCATCTAATTCGTCCATCTCGTCATCTCTCACCTTTCGATAATGAAAATTAAATTTTAATTAAAATTACATTAAAACAAAATTATTAAAAATTAAATTTTTAATTTAAAAAAATATTTACTTTTAATTGTTCGAATTCGTGAGAGCGAGAAATCATTCCAAGAACGTCGGCTTCAGTCATTATTGGTTTTCTAATTTCATTGAACATTTCAACTGTATAATACTTGAGGTAATAATTACTTGATGTGCGGCCCAAATCTAAAATTATTATATTCCATATAATAAATGATTAATTAATAATTTTAATAGAAAATAAATAAATATTTCATTAGAAATATTGGCATAATTTTAATAAAATTAATAATTACCTGTTGAATTAAGATCACCAGTACGAGTATTATAACGAATCATTCTCGCTTTATCCAAAGCTTTCGCAGAAGAATCAATAAGTTCCCTTCGTTTTCGTTCTAAAAGTGGATCATCAATTAGAGTTTTCTCATCGATTCCATATTCATGATGATTGAGTCTCATTCGTACAAAAAGATACGTATAACTTAACCATTCAACTGCCTCCTCAACGTTTGATATTGTTCCCAAAGAAATCTACAAATAAAAATTTAGTTTTCCTTTTTTTTCCATTAAATTACTTTCATTATATTAAAATATATATATATTCCCACAAAGAAATAAAATTCAACGTAAAAAATTTGGAAATAGAAACTAAAATAAATAAAACAATTCAAATAAAAAAAAAAAATTACCTCGGCATTTAAATTATCCGCCAAATGATTAATAAAACTACTCTCAATTGGAAATTGATTGGTTAACAATGAAAGATAATGATTTAATTTACAATGAGATGTAATAATAGTCGCGTGTCCTGATGTATCAAATTGTGGTCTTCCAGCTCGGCCGAAAATTTGTAATACATCCAAAATTCCCAAATCGACAAACGATCCATGCTTTGAATCATAAATCTCCGTTCCCTGTTTATCGAAAAAAAAAATTATATTTTAATTATAATTAATTTATATTTTTAATTCGTTTTTATTTTATTTTATTTTTTTGAATTTTTCTTTATTGATTCTTCTCTTACTTTAATAATAACCGCATGTGCTGGCAAATTTACTCCCCAAGCTAATGTTGAAGTACAAACGAGAACTTTAATCGCTCCCTCAGAAAAAAGACGTTCAACCAAATTTCTAAAACATTTTGTTAAAAATATTGTTTGAAAAATAATTTTTTTTACTAAAAAAGAAAATTAATTTACCTATCACTACGTAACATGCCAGCGTGATGAACTGAAAATCCATATGTAAATAGTTCATCGAGATGTTTATTGTGAGCTTTTCCAAATATTTTCTGATTCAATTTCGTTCGATTTCCATCGGGAGCAAACAATTGTTGTGTACCTTTCTCGAGAGCTTTTTCTTTTAGTACATTTGCTGTGCGTATTGTCGCATTTCTTGCGTGTACAAACACCATGACCTGTGCAAGATTTTCATTTTTGGATTTTTTTTTTTTTATTATTAATATTTCAATATTTAATTAATAAAATAAATTTTTGTTAATATAATTTCTTTTCTTGCCATTGGTGTATTAAATACTATTGTACGGAAAAGGGTTTATTTAAAACCCGTTTATGATCAAATAAGTAAATAAATAATATTGAAATTTTCACTCACTGACCTGATGACCTTTGCTAACCATATTAACGACCTCATTATAACAAACGGTGTTCATGTCATCCAATTGTTGCAATGGTTTAACGGCCTTAACGCCATAGAAAGTTTGACTCAATGGAACAGGTCGAAATCGATAATCAAAATAAAATAATCCCTTGTATGGATTGACCCTTAAAAAACGTGCGACATCCACATAATTTGGTAACGTTGCCGAGAGACCAACAATTCGAATCATATTTTGCGAAGATTCTATCTGAAATTTATTACATTTTTTTTTCAAAATTATTATTTTTTTTTGAAGGTTCTTTCAATAAAAAAAAATAAAATACCTGTCTCAAAGTGCGAGCGACAACTGCCTCGACAACTGGTCCACGATCACCGTGAAGTAAATGAACTTCATCGATAATTAATAATTTTACAATACTCGTCAATGCAATATCGCCAGTTCCTTTTCTTGAAACAACATCCCATTTTTCCGGTGTTGTTACAATCATTTGTGTTTGCATAATTTCACTTTTTGTCAATTGCATATCGCCAGTTAATTCTCTCACCGTCACACCTAAGCATTCCAGTCTAAAGGGAAATTTAAATAATTAAAATAAATTAAAAATTTATATCTAATTTATCTAAAATTAATGCAATTTTGCAAATGTAATGCAATTTTTTTTTACAAATATTTTACAAATAAAATATTTCAAAATTTATTATTTAAAAAATTTTTTTAATTAAAATAGTAAAATTTACTTTTTACTAAAGTTGGCTGTCATTTCGGCAGCTAAAGCTTTCATTGGGGCAATATAAATTATTTTAAAAGCATTCCTTTGTAATACTCCATCTTCGATATGTAATTTTAATTGATGCACCACTGTGAGCATGGCAATATTTGTTTTACCCGCTCCTGTTGGCGCACAAATTAATAAATTTTCATTAGTGTGATAAGCGGCATCAAAAACGATACTTTGTATCCGATTTAGAGATTTTATCCCTTGAAATGCCATTTGACCAATCTGAAACATTTTTTTTTTGTTTCAAAAATCAGAAATTGTAAATTTGATTGATTTTTTTTTTTTTTGTATTTACCTCATCTAAAGAAGTAACTAAAACTGGATCATTTCCAACATCGAGTGGTTCTAAAGGTGGAATTGGTATACTAACTTCTTCACATAATTCAGAATCTTGTCGTTTTACATTTGCCGGAAGCATTATTTTTCGTCCTGAAATATATCCTGAAAAGAATTTAATTTTTTATTATTAAACATTATTTATAAATAATAAATAAATTAATTACCTGGACAATTTGAAGTTGATAATTTTGAATCAAAGACAAATGGATATTTTTCCTGAATCACATAATTTTTATACTTTTTTTTTGCTGGAAAAAGTGGAGCTCTCATTGCCGTTAGTGCTTCAATTTTTTTTGCACGAAGTTCCACGGGATCGAAATTATCTTCCTCGGTGTCATCAATTTTACCATCCATTTTACTGGCGACTTTCATTAATTTTTTTTCTTCTTTACGTACTTGTTTCAATAATTGTTTCTCCTTTTCCGATTGTACGATAATTTGCGATGTTATTTGCGGTTGATCATTGTCTAAAATAGAAAAAAAAAAAAAAATAATTAAAAATTGATATAATTTTTTTCAAATTTAAAATACTTACTAAATACTCGTGATCCTCGTTGATTCATATAATAAGCTAAAATTGTCTTTTGATGTTCAATGACATATTCAATAAAATCGATATTTTCATAACCCAATAAATCGAATAATTCATTTTGAAGTAAAGATCCAGATGTTTTTAATTTATTCGTAATCATTGTGATAAATTCTTCGTAATTCATTTCCAATCGATATTTATTGTAACATTTTTTCATTCCCTTTGTAAAAATTGATTTATCAAACTGAAATAAGTAAACTTTAATATACAAGTAATTAATCGAATATATAAATTAAATATATTTTTTACCTCAATTTTTTTAATTTGATTTGCATTATTTTCATGTGTCATTGTAAAATTTTCTAAATGATCATTTTTAATTTGTTTCGACATATCGTGTAATTTTTCCGTATCAGGCCAACAAGATTTAGCTTCATAATACTGAATTTTTGTACCAAACATATTTGTCTCCTCTTGAGAAATTTTTCCATCCTCTGAATTTAAAAGAAAATCAATATCTTCTTCGGTTAAATTCACCCTTAGTGCATTTATTACCTATTAAAAAAAAAAATTAAAAATAAAATAAAAATTTAAAAATATATTTTAAAAATCGATAATTTTATTTTATGCTTCATTTTTACCTGCATAATTTCGTTGATAAATTGCATGGTTACAGTACCGAGTAATTGTCGAAGAATTTTTAAACTCTTTTGACTGACTACTTTCTCGTTTATCAATAATCGTAAAATAAACATGATTATTTCATTAATAACTTCTGGTGTTTGATCATCTGAAATATAAAAAAAAAAAAAAAAAAATCAAAAATAAAAATCAAAACGATAAAAATTAAATATAAAAAATAAATTTACCGCAAATTTTTGACGTTAATGAATAAATTTTACTGAGCAATGTCATGACATCCTCTGGTACACGTGCACAAAAATTATGCCAACTTGGACCCCTGAAAAATGAATTTAATAATAAAATTCTTTTCTCTTTTTTTATTATTTGTAAAAAAAAAAAAAAAAAATTGTAACCTTTTTAAAATTTCTGTTTGCTCGAGCCTTTTTTTGAAAATATCATCCGGTTGTTGACGTACACATTTCTTTATTCGCCCTAAATCAGTAAATGCTCGCAAAGAACGAGTCACTCTTGGTAATTCGTGCATTTTTTTTTCCACTATCTTCTTTCACCTAAAACATAATTATTATTATTTTTAATTATAATATAAATTCTTTTAACTTGTCAAAATTTAGAGGTTAGGGTTTTAATATATATATACATAAAAAAAATATTTTATAAAAGTTTTATAATTAAAAAAAAAACAATGATAATATAATTTAGTAAATATGGGAAATTTTAATTATATTTAATTTTTTAATTACCTTTTATTGATGCATAATCTCGCTTTCATTCTTTTGCTGTGACACTTGAACTTATCTTCCGGGTATGCGAGTTTTTCCATATGGCGCTGCGATAGTATTTTTTGAAAATTATCTGAAAATTATAAATAATAGATCACGATAAATAATTACAAATTATTATTATAATTATTATTATTGTAATTACAATTGTTGTATAATATTGTCAAAAATTATGCAATAATTAAAAAAATTTTTAATTCTAAAATTCAATTTTAATGAATAATTTTCTAGTAATTATTTATTACCAATTTTATCAAAAATGGTTTTATTTTAAAATATTTAATTTCTAAAATATCAGTTATTGATTTAATAGTAAATAATAAAATTAAATAGTTCTGAAAATAGTTTAAAAAATTCAAGTAAATTATTATTTCTTTTATGAAAACAATTATTGAAAAATTAATTAATAAAAATAATAAAAATTAATTAAACTGGCACCTAGTTATCAGCCTCCAAATTAATTTTGAAAAAAATCGATATTAGCAATTAATTATTTATATTGTAAATAAATAATTCGATATATATTCATAGTTTCTATATTTATCTATACTTTATGAATCAATTAAAGGTGCTCAATCTCGTAGATTTGAAAAAAAAGAATTAAATTTGCAAAAAAAATTGAAATATTATCAAAATTTATGTTAAAAATAAAGTTTTTTGTGATAATTTGAAGAAATTTAACATCATTCAAGAAAGGGTAGATGAGTTGTTCATTTTTCTATATTATAAATAGAGGGATGAATCAACTTTTCCTTTATCGAAAACATCTGGAAACATCTGCTTTTGTTCTGTTTAAACTTGTTGGATACCTGTCTATTCCTGCTGGTTATAAATGAGAGCCTCTGTAAAAGACGTTTTGGTCGTGAAATTTCGTTGGTGATCGGGACCGGAATTTCACTATATATACTCGATTTTACGTTGGCGCGTACGTGATGCGTATATGGTCGTACAAAAGGCCTTGAGACAAGGATACCTTGAGCATTCTAAGAAATTCAAAAGACCCACATCAATTTTTTCGGACTCGCCCTACAAAAAAAAAAAAAAAAAAAAAAGGCACAATATATTACAAATTGCGGCCACATCTGGGATATCAATTTTCTATAAATTAAAAATTTTCCTTTTTCTTTTACAAAAAGATTTATTTATTAATAAATGAATTTGAATCTTAATTTTATGTTATTCATACATTTTTACAAAAGAATAATTAAACAAAAAAAAATTGAATAAAAAAATTTCAATAATTAATTTAATTAGAAAATTAGAAATTAGAAAATATATTTTTAAAAATTACTAATTTTTATAATAGTTTTTCAAAATTTGAAATTAATTCTTTTTAAACATAATAATTTTTTTTTTCAGTAAAAATAGAGAAAAAAAATAAAGATTAATGAAATTAAAGTTTTAAAACAATAATAAATTTAAAAATAATTATAATACTTACTAAGGGAAAAATAATTTATATTTACGTTCCTGATGATAAAATTTATCTTGCAAAATTCAAATAATAACACTTCCAAAATATAGTTCCAGTATCTCTGTGAAGATGGCTTTAAGTTGATTTTAATATAGGTAAAATGAAAACGCCATCTAACTTCAAGTGTCATAGATTTTGGAAATGCGTCATTCACGTTGTTTCCTGCGTACGAGTCAACACAAGAGGAGCGGATATGCCAACATACAACGACGCTGTTGGCCCTGGCTTTATTCACTGAAATATACAGTGCCACACAACAAAATTTTTAGTGATAATATTTTATTTAAAGAATTAAAATAGTTTATCGGCAAAAAAAATGAGTATTTTACTCAATTCCTCACCTGGTACGGATTCACAACAACAAATAACTAATTCATATAATTATTTATATGAAAAGGTTTTTAATTTTTTTTGTTTTTATAATTGTAGGTGTTTGTAGTGCAGCATTAAAGCGAAGAGCCGCCTCGTCCGATGATGGTAAGTTATATATTTATGAAAAAATAATTTTTTAATATTGTGCATTCATAAATTTTGGATAATTTTTTTTTTTTAATTAGAAAAAACATTTGAATCTAGTGATTATTGTATATATTAGATTGTATGATCAAAGTGCATGTTTCATGATATTGTGTTGGTCATAATCTTAAACTTGTTTCGACAGGCTCTTCTTACGCCTACTTGATTTTATTCATGAATTATTTATTTTTTTGATTTTCAATTTTTTTTAAAATGTTATATTACTATTTTTTTTGTCTTGAATAGTACTTTTTATTCTGTAATTATATTAAATTTAATTTTGTTAATTATATATTTTGATAAATTTTACTTTTATCGTAATTTTTTTAAAAAAATTTATTTATAACTTTTAAATTGTTTTGAGAAAGAAAAAAAAGAAAAGAAAGAAAAGCGTTGTATAGAAAATAAAAATATTCATTTCAGACGATGAAATCTCACCTAAAAAACAGAGAAATTCTTATTTTTTTACTTTGGAGTCAGAATCACCTTTACCAACTAGTGAAGATGACGAATCTATATATACAATTCAAGGAGATGAAACTGGTGAGTTAAAAAAAATTTCTAAATCGAATCATTTAATTTGTTATAGGTATTTGTAATTTACCTCTATAAATTATTTGCAGAATTCGTTCAGGATACATCGGATACTTCAACACAATCGTACGATAGCGATGACGATATTTCCGTTCAATTGGAATTTGAAGTTGCTTCTCAATCCGAAGAAGAAAATCCAATGCTTAATCCAACCTCTTCGTCTGATCCAGAGGTAATTTCTGCAATAATTAATAATAAAAATTAATTAAAAATTAATTAATTATTTTAAAATTATCTAAATAATTTTTTATTCAATAGAAAATATTTCCTCTCTGTTTAAATTAATAATAATAAAATTAAATTAACTACAATTAAATTAATATAAATATTTTAGGATTATGTAACAATGGGAGTTTTAGCTGCGATATATAATGAAACTGATATTGGTTTCGCTGATGATAGCGACAATTCAAGAAGTACAGTTGACAGTGAAATTGGAAGAGCCGATTATTGGACGTGCGTTCAATGTACAAGTAAAAATAACAATCCTTTATTTCGCTACTGCGAAAAATGTTACCAGGTAAATAATTTTTCAATAAAAAATTATTAATTAAATACTTTAAATTGTTCATTTTATAACAGAATTCAAAAAAAAATAATTAATTTCTTCTAATTCAAATCTATATCTAAAATAGTTATTCATATGATAATTTATTTATTTTTAGATTCGAAAAAATTTCTTTCCACCGCGACCAAAACGCAAAAAACGTCGCCAACAAAAAGAAAAGGAAATAGTGACATTTGATTTAATGAAAAAAAAATCGGATGAAATTTTAAGTCATGACTCAGGTATTAGTAGTCAGGACACAAAATCAAGTCAAGAATGGGATGATGGTAAAACTGTTGAGTGTATGAAAAAAAAGGACGTTGATGTCGACAATAATGGTGATATTTCAATCAAAAGTGAAATTAAAAAAGAGGAAATTAATATTGAATGCAGTGATAATAAAAATCAAATTTCTATCAATAATACGGATACAGAGAATAAAAAAATTGATAACAATTCAGATGATAAAATGTGCGTCATGTGCACGTTAAATCCAAAAAATGGAGCATTTTCACATGGAAGTACACTTCACGTTTGTTGCTGTTATAAATGTGCTATTCGAATTTGGAGGACCAATAAACACTGTCCAATTTGTAATCGGAAAATTACAAACGTTCAAAAAATTTTCTACAATTAATGCGTAATAGTTGTTAGAAAAATCTACTCTCAGGTATTTTATCTTGTTTAACAAAAAAAAAACAAAAACAAAAAAAAAAAGATAGCGAGATTTTATTTTATGAAAATTTTTCAGAAAAAACTCGTTTTATATAATATGAAAAAAAAAGAAAAAGTTATTAACTTGTTACTTGTATAAAAAGAAGTAAATTATTTTATTAGAAAAACAAATCTAGGTAGAAACATTTAAAAAGAAATTATTTTTTTTTTTAATGTGTAAAAAACATTTAACGATTGGTTCATGAATAAATCATATATAATTATGATTAATTTGATCATTTTTAGATAAAGGCTTAATATGAATCAATTTTCATAAAAATGCTTACTCAAATTTCAGTTATATTTTACAATTGTTTAATGTAATACATTTTAAAATTTAATTTTTTAGAAATTTTGCTTTTTTTTGCAATAATTTAATTTCCTTTAAATTACTTATAAAAAAAGAAACAATTTCAAATTTACCAATTAATTTGCTTAACTTTAGTTTACAAAAATTTAATATATTTTCTGTTACATTTTTGTCGAATTTTATTAACTATATTTTAGCATTAATTAAAATTGAATGAAGAATATTTGAAATTCTTTTTTCTTAATTTTACTCTATTACTAAATATTATCTTTATCTTAATTTTTTATTTAAAAATATTCTTTTCTTTTGTTGAAAACTGATTCATAAGCAAATTTGCATTTTTTGCTTATATTATTATAATTTCACATATTCATCTTGTAAATATTTCATTGAACATTGTTTTCATTATAATTCAACATTATGATTTAATTTTCGTATATTGTAAGAAAATTGTGAATATATATATATATATATAAAAAAAAAATATATTAATCAAATAAGTTTTTCTTTCGTGAATAAAAATAAATGGACCTTGAGACTGAAACCAATCCACATTTACAGTTTAGAAAGATTAGATAATATATTTATTTATAAATATATTTTTTATATACAAATATTGTAAATCTAAGTATAGAATTAGGAAAATGATAAAATTCAAAATAATTTTAAAGTTCCTAAAATAGTGAGTTACAAAATACCAAATATTGAGAAAAAAAAAATTTAATTTTATGCAAGGAAAAAAATAAATTGTAAAAGTGAAAATAAATTATTATTTTTTCAAATATAAAAAAAGTGATTTTATCATTCGAGCATAACCCAAAAAAAATAAAGTAAACATTTTCATTCACAGATATCACTACTGTCTAATTCGATTTTATAAAGAATTTCTCATTATAGTCGTGAGATGTCAGGATATATCAAGGTCCAAAAGAGGAATCGCATCAGAATTTTTTTTTTTTTTTGGGGAAAAATTAATATTTGTCAAGTGCAAAAGAGATGGCTGAGTTTTAAGTTTGGCATTTGTAGATTGTAAACGTTTAATACCACCGATGGTTCGAAAAAACGAGTTTTTTCCTGAGGCGTCTACAATTGACAGACGTTGGATGAATTTTACCATTAAAAATTTCGACACGAGAGAGAAATATTTTCATGAGAAGAACCATCGCATACGGCTTGTAAATTTAGTGAGACGTTTTGGCGTTTCTTGGAATTTATCCCTTAGTCTTTGACGAATATTGACAACTGAAAAGAATTGGGTAAGTTCTTTATTTTACTGTCATTAATATTTTTTATAAAAATTAAAACATAATAATTTTTTTTTCCTATTTTTGGAGAAAAATAAAGAATATTAAAAGAATATTTTAAAACGCTTTCTAAAAACTTCATTTTTACATAATGATGAGATTCTAAAAAATGTTCACCTTTATTTATTTGTTTTTATTAAATAATATCTATATAGTCATGGGAGAAAACGAAAAAGAATTTGTCCTGCAATGGGATGGACATGCAGGATACGTCACAGAACGATTTAGTGGATTATTGGCACGTCAGGCTCTCGTTGATGTGACACTTATTTGTGAGGAGCAAAAATTACGAGTTCATAAATTGGTTTTAGCATCGTGCAGTTTATATTTTGAGGTAAGATTTTTCGTTATATCATCCGTTCCGAAAAAATTCGGTTTTAAATATCAGTAACGATTATCGAATATTTTCTAAACATTTCTATTATACCAATTGTTTTTCTCTTTTAAAAGAGTCTCATGGAGGACAATTTTCCTGTCATTGTTGTAAAATAAACAAAAAAAATCTTGTAAATTAACAAGTAGAAAAATTTCTAAATTTAGAGAATGCTATTTTTAAAACGAAGGACGTTTAATGTGGAAAAAAAAACACAGAAAATAATTTTCTCACATTATTCATATGATATAATAAAGGTAATTGTGGATTTTCTTTTATTAGGAGATGCTGGAACAAGATCTTGGACAAGAGCCAATTATAGTTCTCAAAGATTTGAACTTTGAAGTATTAAAAGCAATGGTTGAATTTATGTACTGCGGGGAAACTACTATCTCACAAAAATATTTACCTTCACTGCTGATAGCGGCAAGACTGTTCAAAGTAAGATTTATTTCTATATTCAATGTACTCCAATTTTCTAGAAAAAAAAAAATGTGTTTTTTTTACGTAATTTTTTTTTTTTGAATTTAAAACAAAACGAATAGCAAAAAATAGAATGAAAAATTAAATGTTATTGTAATTTTACAATTTAGTAGTAAAATAAAATTTTCATATGAAAAAATTATCATTTAAACATAAAATTGAAGGAGAAATAAAATAAAAATTAATTTTTTATTTTACAGGTAAACGAATTAGAATTTATAGCTAAGCAGATATCTGAATCTCAAGATGTCGGTGACGATGGCTCAAATAGTGATAAGATTTTCGAGGAATATAGCGATGGTTCTGAATATATAAATAAATTAGTGGAAATTGACAGCGATTGCGAGGAAATTATTCCCGATACACAAAATAATAATGACGTTGATTGTTACGATATTAAAGATATCAGTGACACGGAATCGGAAAAAGGTCCAATTGAATGTTGTAGTGCAGCGAGTAATGATTCTGAACCTGAATTAGAACATACATTGTACGAGGAAATTGAAATAAAAAATAAAAATATCACTTCTGAAGTCTCATCAACATGTGTTAATGGTTCTTCATCTGAAATTGAAAGAATTTCTAAAATATTAGAACACGATAAATCATTACAATTATTTGAAAATGAATCTATGATGATTGAATGCGAGGAACGTAATAATGACGATGACGACGAAGATGATGATGATTCTGGTGAAAAAATAATAAACTATAACGAATGCTGTGATTATTCAAATGACGAGAGTCAAAAATCATCGTCACGTCAAAATGATGAGACTGATGAGCGTTATTCATCAGACAGTACAGACGTTGGTAATAAAGTTGGACAATGTTTAAAAGTTTATACACACAAAAAACGTAAAAGTATCAATAAAATACGTAATCATTTATTGCAAATCAATGAATTATTACCAGAATTACCAACAACAAAAAGTATTGATTTATTAAATGATTCATCGAGTGATGAGACATCATTAAATATTGAAAATTCCGAATATGTCTCAAGTTTAACAAGTGAAAATATACAATCAATTGTTGGTTGTACATTAAATGAATTTAATTTAATAGATAGTGATAATGAAATAAATGTGTGTAACGGCTTTTTCCCAAGTAATGATAAAAATTATGTTGTCGATGGTGACAAGGAAATAAGAAAAGTTGAATTTTTCACCGAATATGAAAATGATCGTCGTTTAAGAAAAAAACCAATTCTACGAAGAAGCGTACGTCTCAGTCAACAAGAATCTGAGGAATCAATTGAGGATAATTTATTTCTCAATAAAACAAAAAAACACAAAATTTGTATTGTCGACAGAGAACATAAAGTGGATATATTTCCAAAAAAAAAGCGTAAACGACATTCAGAACCAACAACAACATCTAATAATGTAAAACATAATCGATCTATACGTAAAACGGCAAAATATCGAACTCGTACACGATTAGAGCCAAAAATAGAAAAGGAAAAATTAAAAGAACAAGAAAAAATAAAAGATGAGAAATGTGAAAAGGAGACAATAGAAAATTTAGAACAACAACAATTAAATACAATAGCAACTGTTAATCGTGCATTATGGGGTGATATGACTGATATTTCACAGGAAATAAATAATACTAATGATTCAATGGAATGTTCAATGGAAATTCCATTTGCCGTTGGTCTATTGCCATTAAGAGCTGCACTTGAAAAAATGCAAGCAATGCCCGATTATCAACCAAGAAAAACAAGATCATCAGTTGCTCCAATTAAACAGGATACAACGAATAATTATCACAAGAGAAAAAATAATAATCATTGTGAAATTGCTAATGTCTCGAAAAAACATATTGCCACCAGTGAGAGTATAATTAAGGAAAATGCTAAAACCGTTTGTCATATTGAAATTCGAACAGCATCACAGTGCTCTGCACGAAGTCGAAAACGATCATTGTCAGATTGTTCTAGTGTAGAATCAACTGCCATAGCAGATAAACAATAGCACCAATAATTTGCAAGTATGAGCTTTTTCTTTTTAAATTATTCAACAAGACGCATTCTTAAAAAAAAAAAAAATTCAAAAGAAAATTACAATTATTGATGAAATAAAATCAATTATTCTAATTTTTTATTTTGAAATTTGTAAATATTTAAATACTAAAATTATTAATTTATTTAATTTTCAAAAATATGTTAATAAATCTTATGTTTATAAAATTTCTCTAAAAAAAAAAATTTCTCAAAAAAAAAAAAGAAACGAATGCGTCCTGCTCAAAATTTCAAGTGTTCAAAAACAAAATTTTTTTTTTGAATTCTTATAGAAAAAATAATTTTTATATAAAATGCTGTGATGTGAAAACAAAAAATTCTTAATATTACTCTCTGCAAGGTTTTTTAGATAAATTTTCGCATAATTTGGGCCTGTGTTTTGAGTAAAAAAAAAAAATTAAATAATATAATAAATTAAATCTAGTTTTTAACATTAGTATAATAATATTAAAGTCATCATTTGGATTGTTTCTATTAAGATTTGAATTAAATGGAAAGTTTAATTCGTAATTATGCGAAACATTGAGATTTCTAGTTAATTGATAAAAAAAAAAAATAAATAATTTAATTAATTATTATTTTAAAGTGTGCATATTGTACTCAGCATAATATAATTCTATTGCAGTTTCATTGAGACAGAAAGAAAAAAAGATTTTATAAAATTATTTATCTTTCTTACAAAAATTATATTATATATTATATATTATAAGCTTTGTGTCGTCGAGATTGTGATTTAAAAATGCAATACCTTTTTATATTTTTTAACTATGTTGATTGTATATTTAATTTCCTATAATAGTAAAAAAAAAAGAAACAAAAAAATATTTCCGTCAAAATAATTCAATGAAAATTATTTAAATTTTCAATGAATTTAAATAATTAAAATTGAACAATAATAATTAGTGAAAAAGAATCGAAAAGTCTGAAATCTATGTCTCCATAATTAATTGCGACAAGATTTAAAACTTGGAATACAATTTTTTGTTTTCTTTATTTAAACAGGCCCCGCTATACCTCGAATGTTATATTATTGTACAGATTTTATTAAAGCTATATGTGTTATATGTAGTACATATTGTTGTATTACATTCATACAACACAATCTATTGTTGCGTACAAAAAAAAACACCAATTTTTTGTGAACAAAAAAAAAATTATCTTTCAAAGATAGCTTCAGAGTTTTAATAGGCTTAAAAAATGTGTGAAATAAAACAGAAAAAAAAGAAACAAACAAAACTAAAAGAAAATCTTAGCAAAGTTTATGTCTCTTTAAGAATTTACTATAATTCTAATAATTAATTATTACTAAATTTCTCAATTACAAAATCATTTTGTTATTTGTACTTATAAGAAATGCTACAAATTAAGAGCAGTTGTAAATTTGCCATTACAAATCGCACGACACTGTTCAAAGAATGTAAGAAAAAAGAAAATATTGTTGATATTGTAGCTGTAAATACGTAAGTGTTATATCAATATTTTTTTAAATAAAGGTTTATATCGATAATTTACTCGAAAGTGTTAATTTTATAGATTATAATTATTATATTTATTAATTTATAATTATTAAGCACTATTTTTTATATAAAAGAAAATAATTTTTCATTCATATTTTATTAATTGTTTCTTAACATTTTTTTTGTCAGTTATTAATTTTTTTTAAATTTACTTCATTTAGAGTCGCGTATATATTTATTGATAAATTTTTTGCATGTAATTGGAATTATTTGTGTGGTTTTGGTTCTATACAGAAAGTTATATAGTGAAAGGGATAGAGAGAAAGAGAGAGAGAGAGAGAGAGAGAGTGAGGGAGATGATATAATTTGTGACGGTGAAGTGTTTAAAAATAATACACGTATATGCATGTAAGTTTCACGAGAGATACGTGTTTGCTGATGTTTCAACACCGATATGGGCAAAACCGAGAAGAACCGCAGCAACATAGATATATTAGAGCAATATATTGATCTCAACCCCTCGCGAATGGATTCTACACCTTCAGGGACGGATTATTCAAACTAAATAATGCCTATACATATAAATATAGTTTATATATTATTATATTGCGATTGCGCATTCTAAAGTTACGCTATTAGAAAAATCGCAAAATTAAAAAGAAAAAAAAATTACTATAACTATAACATTTTATAAATATTTTTTATATAAAAAAAAAAATTAATTTAACATTGAATAATTAATGCAAATTAATAAATTTAAATAAAATATATATTTTTTAATATATGGATATTAAAATGTATATTAGATTTTATTTTATTGAAATTCATTAATTTTCTTAATTAATCTTGCGAAATAATTAATTATTTTTGAAATTGTCACATTTATAATCACGTGACTAAGGTCGTATAACATTTATAAGAAAAGGTTACAGAAGCACGTGACTTAAAAGTTCGGAGGTTGTCGACTATTCTCGGAAAAAAGTAGGAAATTCCTGGATAAAAGTTGTGATAATTAAAATTAGAAGCAATTTCGTATTATTATTATTGTCATATATATTTTATACCGTGTGATTTGTTTTAATTTTATTAGTGAATGTAGAAAAAAAAATTTTTGATTTAATAACCAAATTATTAAGAAACTTTTTTTTATATTTTAATTAATATAATTAAAAATTCCAATTATATAATTTTAATTTATAAAATAATAATGATTTTATTTACTATTTATTGCAAATATTAGTTATAATTTAATAACTGGTATTATTTTTTTTTACTATTATTTTTGTTAATATTATTGTTATAATAAAAAAAATTATTTTTTATACATAATTAATAATTATGTTCTTTAACATTAAAAATATTTCAATTAAAAAAAAAAAAGTACAATTTTATTTTATTTAAAAGAAGAATAATTTTCGAAAATACCTGTACAAATTTAATTGGATCTTTTTGATTATTTTCATATTTTATTGGTTATGTTTATCAAAATGTAATTTTCTATTCTCTAATATATTAAAACTTCTTGTTCGTATAAATTTCATAATGATATTTACTTCATAAATATTCAATTAATTTCAATAATTATATATATATTAAATTTCAAAAATGTTGTGTAATTTTTAAAAAATTAAATCCCGGGCATGTAGACACTGTCAAATGCGTGTATGCAGAGTATATTAAAAGACGAGAAAAAAAAATTTATATTTCACCAAATATCTTATAATAATAAAATCATAATAAAAATATTTAAATACCTGTTGCTTCTAAAACAAATGACTTGTATTTCCGGACATCAAAAACTATTTCAGATGTTTTAACCTCATTTTTTCAATTCTGCAAAAATTCGTTCCTCTTTGATTATAATTATTTCGTGTGAAAAAGATTTACAATAAGTAAAATTTTCCCAATTTCATGACATAATTTTCAGCTTGTAATTATTCTGGATATTTCCATTTTTTTCTTTTAAATCTGCAATGAAATAATTATTGGTCAATACACGATTCTTCTTTGTCAATAAATTTTTTAATACTAAAATAGGTTAAAAAATTTTATGCCCACAATTAAAGATTAAAATTGCGGGAAATTGGGTCACGTGACTTCCGAAAAGAGAGAAATTTTTTTTTTTTCTTAATGAGACACTTCTTAATAAAATAACACTTGAACAATTTTGTAATTAAAATAGTTTAATTATCATTAATTTCTTAATAAATTGATTAATTTGTTTTAATTAAGTTGTAAAAAATGAATAATACTTTTGAATTGTAATATTTTCCCGCGTAACTAATAAGTATGATCACTGTCCGACAGATGGCGGTTGAACGACCGACCCGCGAGGAACGAAGCATTCTGATTGGTCAAGATTGAAAGTGGAACCAGACATGTCTAACTTTTCCCGCTTTGAAGGTTGTTGTCATGTGGGGGCCCCGCCATTTGCTTGCCATTAGTAGTCGGTTGGGTTGGTGTGCAAGGGTTTAGCGAGAATCGAACCGTCGTTGAGTTGGCTTCACGAATACGGTGGTGGCTCTGTACTGTTCTGTTCGACTGGTGGCCGATCGTGGTCGTCCTGTCCGTCATATTCCCGGTTTGAAAGCAATTACTGCGACGCAGCAAGGTGCAGTGATCGGTTTTTCAAGTTGCTGAAAGGATTCACCGGCCATGGAAAAGCGGATAGAGCTCGAGAAACGGGGAAGAAAACCCAATGAAGTAAGTTTAAATACGTATTTAATTTTTCATGCTTTACTTTTCTCGACACGATTCATCTTTGAATGTTGAACCATAACTTATTCGTTTTCTTTACATGTCCTCATGGTGATAGATAATTTTTTTGTTAAAATGAGTGTTTTTAAAGGCCTGTGAAAAATTTGAAAAAAAAATACTATTCTATTTGTTCTTTGGGGGGGAAATTGAGTGATACCTCTGTTTTCATCGCGTGATAAAAACGAATTTCTCGAGGGGGAAAAAAAGCCGTCCCATTGCCGACACGGGAGAAGCTCCGTGGAAAAAAGGCATGGCGTGCTTTTGTACGTTGGAAACAATGATTCGAAATATATGTCTTCTCATGACACTTCGCGATCGTGTTGGGTATTTTATTTTTTTTCTCCTAATCAAAAGCATGTCTTGTTTCCACGACGCGGGGCGCTTCCTCCGTTAAAAGCGCGACCGAAATTTGTCGACGGCTTCACGCATGCAACGTCGCAACACAGCCGACATGCTAGGATTGAATCACACTCATGCTAATTATTACCGGTTGCATTAGGCAATTTAATTAATCGATTTTAATGTGAATTTTTAATATTTATACTTTTTTTTCTTATCTGATATTATTTTAATTTCAATTTAATGAATGCTCACATTAATTTTACAATATTACAATATTTTAGGAACGCCATCGTATGTCGGAAATTATATCTTTGATAATTCTAATTTTTTGCTTCGCATATTTCTTAATATACGATTAAAAATAATTTGCTTTTAATGGATTTTCTTATCAGTCAAGTTTTCCATTAGATTATCTTTTCTTTGTTGAAACTGTCAAAATATATTTAAAATTATAAATTTTGTTATACTGAAATTAGAAAGTTTCGATCGGTGATCCAAAAAAAAGAAAAAAAAAATGAAGAACCAGTTTTAAATTGATAATTATGTTGGCGAGTGATTTGTAGTTTGCTAAAAAATAAAACTTTTGTAAACAATAATTGTGCCTACGGCGTGGTCGCATGTGAAGTTACATTGCATCGCCATCCATTATCGAACTCTGATCAATTGAAATTAAATTTTATCAGGACATTTTTCTTGTATAAAATTTTTTAAAATTTATGTTATTGGTAATCGACTACTTATTTCCCAATGTGTGAGATATTTATTCTTCGTGAGAGTTTCGAATAACGCGTGAGTTGCATTTTTGTTTGGGCAGCGCGCTCCTCCGCTTTTTATCAAGCACGAGAAAACATATGCACTCGGAGCAACCATCGGCCGACATCGTATCCACTCCCCGCACCTGCCTCGATCGTTAACGTCGATTACTTAATCGCGTGTACACTCTCAAATATCCTGCTCCAAATATTCTCTTTTACCTAAATCAATTGATTTTTTATTAACCGACATCTTTTATTGGGTCAAGGACACGATCTTTCAAAGTTACAGGTCATTCCCCCGTATCACACTTGGTACAATCTTTTACTGACCCAACTTAATAAATTATAAATAAAAATTTTGTTTTAATTTTCATCGTGAATAAAACAATTCCTAATTTTATTTGTTTTTTTATTCAAATTTTTGTTTTTGATAGCAAAATTTTCGAATAATTAGAATATTGTGATTTTTGTTTTTATAATTTTGAATAATATTTACAAGCCATTGAACTTGGTGCTCCGAAAAAAAAGTAACGAATACCGGCATTATTGCGATGTTTTTTTTTTCTTTTTTTTTTTTTGGTTCCCTTCTCCCCGGACGCCATTGTTGACAAGACGCCAAATAAAGGAAAGTGAAGATTACAAGTTGGCATTAGTTCCGTGGAGAATTTTTTCCATGAGGAATATTATGTAAATTAATTTGAAACGTTTAGAATCTGTGCGAGGGGATGATGGTGCGTGTTGAGAGGCTGCGAGATGCCACCGTGGGAGTTGCGCATAACAAACACCATTTGCAACCGGTGTGCGCGTTTGTCATGTTTACAGGGGGGAAAATAGAATTCACGGAATTATTGAAAGAACTTGGTGAGTGTTTTGTCCATAGAATGTGTTGAAATTTTCATGATTATCACATGATTTCAGTTTAATTGTTTCGTGAATATCGTTTTTATTCTTTGAATAAAGTTTTTTCCCCTACCTGTCGCTTCAACCCACGTTGACATCTTGGACGAGTCCACTTTGGCGCCAAGTGAAACTCGCATTTAACTGTACCATCTTGTTTTTTTTTTTTAATTAAAAAAAATAAAACATAAAAAATTTTGTCGCTCAATTTTTCAAAATTAAATTTGAGAATTTATGAGAAGATGATTGAAAGTTGGTGTGTTTTTGGAAAAAATTTCCTTAATGAATACTTGAGCTGAAGTTAGGATCTTCTAAGTTGATCAGGGCCGTAATTAGATGAGTGGCACCTTAACTTTTTTTTTTGTGCGACATTTATTTCAAAACAATAACAAGCGCGCGAGGAGGAAAGATGTGTTTTTATTTCATTTTTAGGTTAAATATTTAATGAGAAAGAAAATTGATTATTGAGTAGAGGAATTGACACAACACCGTTGACTTGTGAATTTTTTATGGGATTACATACAGAAGGGTTAAATCAGTGGTGAGGGATTCACACGAAGAGGAAGGAGAGTTTCTCGTTGACCTGTGATTGTCATTGATCCACCCCCTACACGCCACAAAACATGTCCCATAACTGTTACCACCTTGCAGGGCCGTAGAAAACCATATTTTATTTAAATCTCTTCCTTTATCACCTATAATAATTCTAACCTACTTTATTTACTTTTCAAGTTTTAAAATTTGAATTTAATCACAAAATAATAATTTTCTTTTTTTTAAATGTTCTTTACTATTTTTTACTATTATTATTTAGTACCAAAACATAACCTCAAACTACAAATATAAGTATTTATATTATTCTATTAAAGTGAATTTTAAATTAACAAAAATTTTAATTTATTATTTTTATTTAACAGAATTTTATTTGTCGAAAGCAAGTATTTTTGTGCAAAATTTAAAAATTAAATCAAAAGTTTGTTGATAATTTCTGATTGGTTGCTTCTTAAAATGCGCGCTTAAGTTTGAATAATAAATTTTGCTAAATGAAAATTTAGTTAAAAATTCTATTAAATGATAATTTTAAGTAAATAAAAATTCTTTGAATATTTAGATAAGAAATTTTATTAAAAATAAAAATTTATTATATAAAAAAAGAAGGTTTAATATAATTTTATAATATTTTATCAAAACTTTAATGAAATAGAAATTGAATCATATGAATTTTGTGTCAATTTGGACTCGCATAATTTTTAGGCTTATATTTATGCGTGTATTAATTTTTGTTTATGATTAGTGATTAAAAATTGGGGATTACGATCCTGGTGTTGTTGATTGTTTCTGCGCGACGTGACCAATCCTATAATAGAAATGTCGGACAGCCCTATCTAAGATTAGAGTGCGCGCGGATGCATCGCGTCGATGTGAAAGCGGTTTGTGGGATAACCACGGGGTTTTGAACTGATCAAGTTCGGACCTGTCGCGTGCCGCAGTCACTACTTGTCGCTCTCTCGGTAGTTTTTCCTCGATGTCGTTAAACAAGACACGGATCCCGTACGCTCCTGTGGTCCCCTCTCCTTTTCTACATCGTCACAAAACTCCATCTCTCTCTCTCTCTATATATATATGTATATACATATTTCCCCGCCTAATGCTACAGCAAAACCCTCTCTCACTCTCTCTTCCTCGTCACTTTACTCCCTTACCTTACTTTTCCTTCGATCAATAAAATAGCCCATCTCCTGCGAATCTCTCTCTATCTCTCTCTCTCTCTCTCCATTTCCGACTTGTTTGAATTTTAACGCCATTTAAATTTTAAGAGAAAACTGTCATTCTGATTTGTTGTCGGGTGACGTATCTATTATGCATGTACACTTCCGTCTTATTTTCGAGAGAGATGAAGAGAGCGGATAACCAATGACGCAACACGTGAGAATTCTTCACGAGATGAAGAGGAAAAAGAAAGAAAATCTTAAATTCTCTTATCTTTTATCTCACACACTTGTTGACATTCTCTCTCACACTCACTTGCTGTTATATTTTTAGTATCGATGCAATTTTTTTTTTTTTTTTTTTTCAAAGGAGGTGGAAAAAATGGGTCAATAAAAATCATTGCAATTGCATGCATTTTGTTTGAGTAGAAAACACGATTATCGATAATCTTACATATATGCGACCTTGAAGATCCGATTCGTCGGATTGTATGACCTTTAAACTATTGTTTCCATGACAATTGAAACTGATAGCTAATTATGAGAGGTGCCTTGAGAAAAAAAATTTGGTGCAGTACTTAAATATTATTTTTTTTTTAGACAATTGATTTTACTGTTCTAGTTACAGAACTATTATATTTTTTTTCATCCCTTTAAATTTTTTTAATTTATTATAAAACTATATTTAGTTTTTTATTTGTAATATTTGTTGAAGAATTAATTAATTTGCAATTTCAACTGATTAATTTGGGGAATTTTTTTTTTCAGATCACAGATTTTGTATTGGACAATTGTCGGAGTACGAATATTGTTGGATTAACAGATGAATATGTAGCTTTGGAAAAATTGAGTCTTATCAATGTGGGCCTTACAAGTTTAAAAGGTTTCCCTAAGCTACCAAATCTTAAGAAGGTATGTAGCTTAAAAATATTCGTACATTATTTTATATTTAATTTGAATTTTTGTAACCGGAATTTTAAACTAAAAAAATTTAAATAATTTTACAGTTGGAATTAAGTGACAATCGAATCTCTGGTGGTTTGAATTTACTTCACACGAGCCCTAAATTGACTCACCTTAATCTCAGTGGGAACAAAATTAAGGATTTGGATACGCTACAGCCTCTTGTAAGTTTACTTTTTTAAAATATTCTCTATAATATATTTATTATACTTTATATTTAATAAATTTCCTTTAATTTCTGTCACAATTTTATAAAAAAAAAAAATGTAAATTCTGTATTGTTTTACAGAAAGAATTCAAAAATTTGAAAAGCTTGGATCTTTTCAACAATGAAGCGACAAATATGGATAATTATAGGGAGAAAGTTTTCAGTCTTATTCCAAGTCTACGATATTTGGATGGGTATGTTTGAAATTGACATAAAATTACAAACAAACAATATTGTCAAAATTAATATCTGGTTAACAATTTTTTTTTTCTTTATAGATTTGATGTACACGATTGTGAAGTAGAAGATAGTGAAGGAGAGGACGATGAAGTTAATGGAAATGAAAATGAAAATGTCGATGAAGATAGTGAAGAAGGTATATTGAATAATTTAAAAAAATTTAACGAATCTGAATTAAAAATTTTTTAAATTTTTATTTTCACTAATTCATAACTTTTAATCGATTTGAATTATTTCAGTTTCTGACGAAGAAGATGACGAGATCTTCGATGAAGATATAGGATTGGCAGAGATATATAAAGATCAAGAAGTAAGTAAAAAAGAATGACAAAATTTAATTTAATTAAATGATATTAATTTTTGATATTTTTCTAATTAAAGGATGATAGTGATGAGGAAAATTACGAAGAGGGTGAGGAGGAAGAAGAAGACGATGACGATGATGAAGATTTTGATGAAGAAGATCAAGAGCAAGAAGAAGGTGAGTTTTTTTTACATTTATTAGAAAATTATTAAATTTTAATGGATTATTTACTGTCAGAAAAAAAATTAGTTTTTATTTTGAAATATTTTATATAATTGAGAAAAATAATTTTCATATCTGACAGAATCGTCACCAGCTCGAGGTAAAAAAAGAAAACATGAAGATGGTGCAGAACCGGATAATTAGAAATTCAAGATAAGAGTTTTTCGCTACTGTCGAATGAGTGTGTAAAATTTCGTATAAATAATAACAATGATTGCGCCGCCGAGTGAACAGCTGGGAATCAAACTTATTGACCGACCAATGACAGTACAGTTAGTGGTGTGATTTTATTAGTAAAAAAAAAAAAAAGAGAGAAAGAGAGCGCGAGAAAGATAGAGAGAAAGAAATAGAGAAAAATAAGGGGAAAAATCATTGACTGAAAACTGTTTTTTGAGACAAGAATTGAAAAAAAAGAAACGAAGTGAGAGACAAAACAACGGATATAAAAGGCATAAAATAGGGGCCTGCATTCCAGCTAGACCCAACACGTTTTAGTTATACTAACGATATTTTATATAGAGTATATAGTTAGAGAATTAGAGGTGTTGCATAGTATGTGAGTGTATGGGAGTTTTTTTTTTTGAGAGAAAAAAAAAAGAAAAATATTTGATGAACTCGGGAAGGCAAGCAAGAGTTTTACACTTGAATGGAGCGCATTTGTCTGTTAGCTTCGGTCGGCCAAAGGCTGGTCATGCTGGAATGCAGCCGTCGTTAATCAGTAATAAGATTACATAAGTTACATTTTAAATATATTATTATTGTACTAAGTATAGAGTAAAAGAAAAACAACTTTTGTACAGGTTTACACCAACAATTTGAAGAAGCATTATGTCGCTGTGAATTTTAGGACAGAAATTAAAGGAAAAAAAAAAAATAAATAAAAACTATTAATAAGAAAAATCAAGTCTGGGTCCAAGGCTAATATCATAAAGATTTTTTTCCTCTCATTTTTTTATATAATATATATAAAAGAAAAATGTAGACAAGGGTTGTAAAAAAAAATAAATTTTAAAAAGTATTTTTTCCGCGAAAATAAGAAAAATTTTATCGATAAATTCACTAGACAATGTACAGATAACATAATTAACTGTAGGACAGTGCAATTAAATATTTTTTTAAACAAATATTTTAGTTCGATATTTTTTTTTCTTTTGCAATTCATTTATATTTTGCAATAAAAAATTATTTTCCAGTTTACTTTTTTTCTAATATAAATAAAAAAATCAAAAAAAAAAGAAAAAACGAACATAATCAACAAATGTTATTCCAGTCTTTACTTTCTGTCTTGAAAAATCACTAAAGCGCTACCCGTGTATTACATTGAGTAACGCGTGAAGGTAATGAATATTGACGACAATGATGATCATTATTAATTATTATTATTATTATTATTAATATTATTATTATTACTATTATTAAATTATGATTCTTATTATTTTTAAAGAAACAAATGTTTGAATATATATGTGCTTTCACAACGATTACGAAATGGTAATTGAAGAGTGAGACAAATTTATACATTATAAGGGCAGACCGACTAAAAGTATTCGGAAAAAAAAAAATTTATTCATATATAAAAAATAAATATAAATACGGCGGATTAATTAAATGTTAAAAACACGACTGTGACGTTACTACGAGAAAACTTAACTTGGACACACGGAAAAATAAAATTAATATAAAAGCATAGAGAATTATGACCGTATGTGAGAGAATGGAATGGATGAAAACAAAAAAAAAGTTTGTGAAGCGTGTGAGTTTAAGAAAGGTTGGTTTTTTGTAACAAAAAAGAAAAAAAAATGAAAACAAAAAAAAAAGGAGAAAAACAATTTGCGGTAGAAGATCAAGTACCTGGCGCTATATATTATTAATGCCGCCAGATTGGTTTATGGCCTTATCCAATTTTTCCAGGACTTAAAAAAAAAAAAAATGCAAATTTATATTAGGTACAGTGAATAAATGAGACGTGTACAGAGGTCTAAATCTGTATATTCCCGAAATGTAAATTGTTGTCATTTGCGGCTCGCGCGGAAAAAATGTGTATTTGACAAAAAGAAAAAAAAAGAAATGAATTATAAATATTACTATTATATGAAAATTATTCCGCGCGCTTCGCGACACAAAAAGCAAAGATAAGAACTTTTGTCAATTGTGATTTTGGATAGACCATTTAATTAATTAATTGAAAGAAATGAAAAAAAAAGGATTATGTCCCAGATACACCTTTGTATTCGTTTTCGAGGTACTTTAAATCCGTATATTATATTGTCTGTCTGTTCTGTTGTTAAAGTGAATTTTTATCAATAACATTTGTTTATTTTGAGTAATCTTCATCACAAAATAAGAAAAAATAATTTATTAATAAAATCAATTTACAAATCAATCTGTTATCTGTACTTAATTGCGGTTGTTATACCTCTAATCGTCTTGTAGAAATTATATCGATAATTAGGCATGATATTTGATTTTTGTACTAACTCTTTTATATTTCTTGTCCATATATACATATATATAAATATATTATATTTCAGTTCTTATTAAATTATTTGTAGATGACAGGTTTCTTTTCTACGCAATTATTTTTCGAAAAATTTGTTTTATTTATAGTTTTAGATTGGACAAGAAATAAAAGATGTTTTTGTTAGAAATTAATATTTTCATTGAATTTGATATTACGTAATAAATTTATTTTAATGAAAATATTTTGTCTCTTTTATTAACTATTATTCGTCTTATTTATGTTATAAAATGTTAAATTTTAATTATTTTCATTTGAATTTTAATTAAAGTACTTTAATTGATAATTTGAAAACAATGTACGTAAATTGGCTAATTAATTTCAATTGTTAAATTATAGAATAACTAATTTTTAATTTTTAATTAATTTACATGACTAAAGTGATTATAACTTCCTCTTTTTGCGATTTTTCTTACACTTTTAAATTTTCTACGTTCCAAAAGAAAAGTGTGAAGAAACATTTAAAATTAAGTTTATATATAGAAAATATAAACTGAAAGTTAAAAACTATTCAATTTATTATTAAATACTTGGTTTTTATAACATTAATTAGTCAATTAGGAACAAAATTATCGCAGTTTTTAAATAACCGCGAGATTAGTTTAGTAATAAAATATATGTACCTATTTCGATGCTTTTTAACTTAATTTTGTTTATATAATATAAATTTAAATCATTATTTTTACTGCATATAGATTGACAATAATTTACCCTAACCTACAATTCAAACAATTGTGACAAATCGGTTCAAGGCAATTTTTTAAATGATTTTAATTAACTAGTAATAAATAATATAAAATTTAGACTCACCGATCTTTTTAAAATATCCAAAAAAAAACAGCATTATATCTAAAAACACAACACTAAGGATTCAATTAAATTACTTATACCGGTATTTTCACTAATTTTCATAAGTTTAACAATAGACAACAATTTGTGCAACCGTTTTTTGTCCAAACTAAGTTAACATTGTTCAAGCGAGAACTTAATTTCACATTATTTAATATTTATCGTTACAATTATATTATTTTAATTTTTAATATATTTAATAATAACTATTAACATTATTCTTACGATAAATTACCTTTTTTTTATAATTAAATATCTTTTACAGTTTTCTGTTTTCAATAATTTGAATTTCAACAGTGCTACCAATTTGATCCGTCAAGTGCTGCCGCCATCGGCGAGTTGCCAAACTAAAAATCAAAATGGCCACAACATGCGCCGCAGCACTTCCAGTTTCTCTTCGCGCTTCATTCAGTGAACTTGGTTTCAATACAGTTAAATCGTGATAAGAAAATTCGCCGGCTTATCAAGTTAAAGTTTTGTGTCAAAAAGCCAAGATCAACTAGAAGGATTTTGTTTTAATAGACATCATTGGACGGAAAATAAAAATGGCTGAGAGTAAAGGCGCGTTGATCGCGAAGACAATGCAAAAACATGCAGGTAGAGCGAAAGAGAAGGTAAGTTATCTCATTTATTTTAAATGAAAATCTTTTTAAATATTAAAAATTATTAATGTTTTTATATTAAACATATGACAAATTATTGGAATCATATTATTCAGTAAAAATTTTAATCTTGCGAATGTTTACAATAAATGCAAGACGTACAATTAAGGAAAATTTTTTTAAGAAAAAAAGATGTTGCAAATGACGATGGCTTTGACTTGCGAGCGTAACTAATGAGAAAATTGTGCACGACGCACACCTTTGCAATAAAATTCTAGCTATGACGTTCGCCGACAGGTTAAATTTGATCCCCGTAGAATTAATATAACCTCTACGTCTTGCGGTGCCTTTCAAGTGCCAAAAAATTTCTTTGACGTACTCCAACCACTGACGATCATGTTTTTCTTGTCATTTATTTATCAGTAACTTATTTTTCACTATTATATACGTGACCATCTTCGAAAATTTTATTATACTTTGATTCGGTATACAGTGTCTTATGTAACTGACTAACGCAAATCTATTGTCTATTATATACTATAGAGCTCTATTTAAAATGACAATTACTTATGCAACTCGCGTCAATGCCACGGCATATTTGTCTGACATGTATATATATATATATTTTTGTTTTTCAATTACTTTTCTGTAAATTAATTATCCCGGGTGGTGATCTTTCTAATCATTCTTTCCTATATAGCAGTTATTATCTTAATTTTTTACTTCCGTAAATTCTAATTAATTAGTACAAATGAGGTAAACTTAATTGCGTTCATCTTGTTTTTCGTTGATTTATTCTATGGTTTTTGTTGCTTATTTATTTTCATATATCATAATTGTAATTAATATTGCAATTAATTTTCCTTAAAAATATTCTTTTGTCTCGAGATTTTGAAAAAAAAATTTTTTTAATCAATGTTCAATTGATTAATTGAATAGGCAATTTTTGTTATTTATATTCTTTGTCTATGTAATAATAATTTTATATTTTATGTGAGATGCATGTACCTTGACAAGAGTATCGATTGATTTATCACTTTGAAAATTTACCATCGTTGGCGTCTGCATCTGAATCCTTTCGTTTTCACTGGCCTAGAATTTATATTCATAACTATATAGAGATGATATTTTAAAGTTGTTTAGCACCTCACTTCCATTTTCATCTTATTTATCTTTCAAAGATGGTCTTCAACTTTAATTACTATATATCTTTCATTTAAAAAAAAAAAAAAAAAAAACTGCTCTTTGTATGTCAAGTCAGTGTGTTACACATATGCACTTGAAATCTATATCTAATATGCAAATTTTCCAACATACTTTATTATAAATGTTTGTTGCAATAAGAGTTAATGAAAAAAAATGAGATATAACTGGAAAATAAGTAGCAAATGTTTCTATAACCTTGTCAATTTTTTTTTTTCAAAAATAATTCTTGTTTGAAATTTTTGAAAGTCAAAATTAATTTTTATTTCAATGAAATTAAAAATTGCATTCGTTTCGATTTTAAATTATTAACTCATGAAATAATTAATTTCTTATCTTAATAGAAATATCTTTTTTCGTTTATAATAGGTGTAGAAAATAATTTATGGTATGGTAATAAATAAAAAAATTCTTGTTTTATATATATGAATGTTTAGAATTTAATCAAGACTCGTGCTGATAATAATTGTTAAAATAATTTATTATACTGGACATTGATTTCATTAATTTAATATTTATTAATTTTACTTAAAATTGTTAACAAAATTATAATATTGATTATTATTATTTTTATATTGATGGAAAAAAATCAATAATAAATATTTAGATATAAAATTCGTTAAAGTGTTTTAGTTTGTACTTTAGTTTTGCGTGCGAGATAAATTTTATTTTTTATTATTTGAAGATTTGAATTGATAAAAATGTAAAAATTTTGTGGAAGGTCCGGAAAGCCATTGACATCGACAGTTTTAAAGTTGTTCTTCGGTTCAAAGTTCAAGAGCTCAGAAAGAGTTATACACGACTAGAAAAGTACGCCGACCACTTGTAGTATTCATAACCTTACAAGGTACCCAGTCGTTCGGTTCAGTAAACTCGCACGTGATTGGAATTAAATATAAATGATCGATTCTGTTTAATCATATACATTTAGAAATCATCTTCTTCTTCTATTTTCTAAACTTTTTAAATTTCTTTTCACAAGTTTTAATTTTTACTCTCTGAATTGTAATTTTAAAAATTAATTTTCATAAAGTAAAAAGTAATTTTTTTTATTTATTAATAAAAGTATTTTTTTTGCGTTTTTTAAATCTGAGGTTTGTTTTTTCAATTTTTTTTTTTTTTTTTTTTTTTTAAATTCTCGCGCGAAATCAATGAATGAAAAATTATGATTCTTGAAAGATCAGCATTTTACCGGAAAGATGATATAATCTTGTTTTGCTTTTGTTATGAACTGTACACATTGGTTGGCCTTAATCTTTTTCAACAATCGTCTGACGTATATTTTGTCTCTAATTACTTTCATTATGAGTTTGCACGCTTTTTTCACTTTTTTTTTCTTAATTTTTAGGGTTCCGTACTCGGTTCGGAACCCTATTAATATCGGTTTTTTTGAAATCGTGTACCCCCCCCCTAGCGGCCACATAAATTTATCTGGAGGGCTGAAAATTAGTACACATATGTATTTTCGCGGGTAGATTACAGGAAAATTATAGCGAACTTGATTGGAATTGATTAACATAGCGTTGTCAAGGAAAAACCATGAATTTTTACGAAAAATGCCTAAAAATGACTATGTACCCCCCCCCCTAGCGGCCACATCTTTTGACATAAAGAGCTCAAATTTGACACACTTACGTATTTTTACGTGAAAATTACAGGAAAATTATAGCGAACTTGATTCGGATCAATTTACATAGCGTTGTCAAGGAAAAATCAAAAATTTCGAAAAAAATAATTTATTCTCCCTAGCGCACACAATATTCAACCCAGACAGATCATATTTAGTATACAAATGTATTTTTACGGGAAAAATACAGGGCAAAAAAAGCGGTCACGATTAGAGTTAATGATTAACTTTTTATCAAGTTTTTCAAGAAAAAATGACAATTTTAGGAAAAAAATGTATTTTTCCACCAAAAACGAACAAAATTTTATTTAAAGGAAATTAAATTTATATATTTTAACGTATTTTTACGTGTAGATTACAAAAAAAATATAGCGAGCATGATTGGAGTTGATTATCATAGCGTTGTCAAGGAAAAACCATGAATTTTTACGAAAAATACCTAAAAATGAGTATGTACCCCCCCCTAGCGGCCACATCTTTTGACATAAAGAGCTCAAATTTGACACACTTACGTATTTTTACGTGAAAATTACAGGAAAATTATAGCGAACTTGATTCGGATTAATTTACATAGCGTTGCCAAGGAAAAATCAAAAATTTCGAAAAAAATGATTTATTCTCCCTAGCGCACACAATATTCAATCCAGACTGTTCATACTTGCTGTAAAACTCAATTTTTGCGTGAAAAATACAGGGAAAAAATGTAAGCGCGATTGGAGTTGATGATCAATTTTTATCAAATTTTTGAAGAAAAATGATAAATTTCAGAAAAAAATGTATTTTTCCGCAAAAAATGAAAAAAGTTTTTCTACAATGATTCAAATTTATATATTTTGACGTATTTTTACGTGTAGATTACAAAAAAAATATAGCGAGGATGATTGGAGTTGATTTTTCTGGAATTAATAAACAAATTTTATTTTTTAGATAACTTTCGATTTTTCCTTGACAAGCAGCTACTAGCCTTATATCAATATCTTAAGTTTTATCTCTTTTTGACTTAGAAAGATAAAATTTAATATTCAATATATTTTTAAAATGTAAATACAATAAAAATATTGCGAGTTGAAATAAAATTATGTTTCTTATATTTTTTTAGTAAAATATTTTTTAAAAAATAAAATCGGACAAGTGCGAGTTACACTCGCACTGAAATCGAGGGTTCCGTACTCGAAGCGAACTTATTTGGTATAAAAACAAATGTTTAAAAAATATGTGTTGTATGACAACTAATATAAGTGATACGAAGAGGAACAATTTTCTTGAATTTTACAAAATTGTTCCTTTTTGTATCACTTATATTAGTTGTCATACAACACATATTTTTTAAACATTTGTTTTTATACCAAATAAGTTCGCTTCGAGTACGGAACCCTCGATTTCAGTGCGAGTGTAACTCGCACTTGTCCGATTTTTTTTTTTTTCAATTTAGTTATACTCATGATTCAAAAGAGACGTGATGCATAGATTCATTTTCTTATTTACAATGATAAGCACGTTTAATTACTTTTATTTTTCTAAATTTGCAAATAATTTTTTTTTTCTCCATATAATAATAATAATATGTACTCGACTTTGAACTTGATTTCCTTTATAAATTATTTATATGTATCTTACAAGTAAATTGCTTGTTTATTTTAAAAAATGTTCTTTTTTTAATTCTCAGTAAATTGAATAATGAATTTTTAAAATTAAGTGACATTATTAGTTGAAATGATGAATTAGAATATAATGATTTAATTGTAATAAATTAAAAAACTTTCTGAATTTAAAATTAAATAATTGAATGAATAAAATATTACTGAATTTAATGAATTGAAAATTTATTGAATGAAATCAAATTGAAAAAAAGTAAAATTCACTCTTGAATAAAACGTATTATTTATATAATTCCTTATTTTATTTATACAATTTTTTATTATAAATAATTTTTATTTTATCAGCGCATGTATATTTTTCATAAGTTTCCAAATATAACTGTGAAATTGTATAAATATTTGACCGTTAAACAAACTATTTACCTTGGAAGATAGTTTGTGATTCATATATTGATTCAGGGCAAAAAGATTAACCGTATAATCCTGTTATGAAATATTTTAATTGAGAAAAAGTTTATTTTTTTTATGTTTAAGAAAATCAAATTGATATGTAAAATACGAATTTTTGAAAGATTATATAAAAC